GATTTTTGAATAAGTCTTCGATCACAAAAGTTTGAGAAACAGTGATCCATGCATAACAGTCAAAATGCCGCTTTACATTTTCGTTGTTGAAGATATTGGCAACAAGAGTTATCTTGCCTGATCCTCCCATCCTGACCACAGACACAACCATTTCATTTTCCTCGCCATTCATCAACAATCCCATTAACGTTTGCTTCTTGTCTTCAATCCCGATTAATTCGTCTTCCATAATATAAAGAGAAGACTCGGCTTTGTTCTTCACCCATCTGGGAACACTATCCGAACTTGTTCCTTCTATTGTAGAGACACCATATCTCTGATTCCTCTCAGGAATGGCTTTGATCTTTTTTGTGATTTTCTGTAATTTTTTGGCTATTCGATGCCTAAACCAAAGATTCTTTGGAATGTGAATGGTTTGTGGAGCCATTTTTCAAATGGAGTCGCACTTTGCTGGTCATATATGTGATACAGGAACTCATCAATGACATTTTCCGCATCCAAGGTCAAATCTCTGACGCTTGTAACCCACTTTTTCTCTCCTTCTGTCTGTGGTTCCTTGCCTTCAGCATCTATTAAGAAAGATTTCATGCTTATGAGCTCCAGCTTAAGCTCATCAATTTCATCACGGACTGCCGCTATGGAAGATGCTTCGTTTTCAAGAATGGCCGCAATTTTCCCAATCAATAGTGATGCAGCTGACTCCATTTTGGCCTTCGATACTTGGTATGCAATCTGTCTGCAGAATAGACAAGTTTCAAAACAACAGAAAAAGAAAAAAAATAACGCAATGGATAAATTTTTGTATTTTACAAACTATGTGCTTAGTTTTCAAAACGAAACCACAAACCAAAAGAAATCAAGATCTAAATAAGGTACCTGAAATTGTCTAGTACTCAAGAAATTTAAATTTCTGTTCTTAACTTTCATTCAGTTTAACAAAGGGGCCAAACTTAGTCCAAAAACTACTTTCTCGAGTTTTTTTTCCAAGAACACAGAATTAAAAAATTTGGTTCAAGAACAAAAATCTATGCTTGATAATTTTCGAACTCATTCAATCTAATTCTTCCACCAAATGTCATGGTTTTTTGTCCGTGTTAAGGATAACAAAAAGTTCCAATTCTTTGTAGGTGGCAGTTGACAAGTTCCACAAAATTGTTGTTAAGTGAAAGTACACACGTCGAAAAGAAGATAGCGGATTGAACTCTACACAAAGGCCTAATAATATTTTACACGACCCGTTAATTAGACAAGAAACGATACGAAAATAACAGGATTTTGGTCAACATGTTAACCACTGTTCTAAAAATCTCCACATAGCGCCGCCTAGGAGCTAGACGGTTGTCTACCGCCCAGATTAATTCCTAGGCATTTGAAAATTAAGAAAGGAAGCCTAAACCTACCTAGGCACCTGCCCACCTAGACGCCTCTGTTCACCACCAGACTAGAGCCTAGCGTGATTCATTAACAATGCGGTTCATTATCAGGTAGCCCGTTAAGAACTTGATAAGATATGGTTTTCCATATCTAGATATTAGGTATATTAAATTCTTGCATGGCCTCTTAACTGGACATGAAACGACACGATTGGTTAACAAATTAAGTAGTTATCGGATCACCTGTTAAGAATTCATTAAGATAACAGGTTTAACACAACACGACCCATTGAGATAACGGGTATGACACAAAAACAACAAAAACACGATAAACATGACCCATTTGCCTGCTTAAATTATTTAAATAAAACACCAAATAATATTGATTAGACTTGCAACCAAATTCAACTTAACGGCGTACGAATCAATAACTTAACCCTCTTTTTATGCTAGCAAATATTGTTGAAGCCGAAATCGAATTTGAAATCTTGTTTTCAAGGCTAAATGCTCGAACCTAAGTGACATATATAATAAGAAAAAACAAGTGAAACAAAAAATTAGATATAGCTCATAAGTAATACTTTCTTCCAGATAATTTATAGAAGCATATTGCATATGGTAATAAAAGTGCAGAATAACATACTTGGGGCCACTTGGAAGCTCACAAAAAGAGTTGCAATGAAACTCCTTTTTTTTTTTGTGAAAACTTGCAATGATACTCCTTTGTCAATGAACTCAATGAAAATATCAAATATGAAACGAAGACACTGGAGTTCGCTCCCAAAAATATCAAACTAATATGAGACCACGACGAAAAAGCATAGTAAAAATTCAAAAACTCACATAAAATAGAGAAAAAAATAGAAAGCTCTTATTTTACATCATCACAAGGTTTTAGAAAATCACTCAAGCACACTGGAATTACTGTACAAAAGTTTATGATAAATGTTAGTGAGATTTTTTTTTTTAAAATAGAATTCTTCCAGCACATTACGTTTTTAGCATAATTCTCTTATTACATTATAAAATATTATGAAAAAAATATATGATCCGATGGAAAGTTCATGAGGAACTTACTTTTTTTTTTTTTGAAAACTTTGAGAGAATCTTTTTAGCATTTTTAAATTCACACTTTATTAAAAATCAACTACTTATCAAGTCTCTACTTCAACACCGGTAAAATAAACTACTTTTCAAGTCTCTAATTCAATTACTGTCATGGATGAGCTACTAGTTCGATAAGGTAATAATCACAATGCATTTAATTCACCGGGAGCAATAATAGTACATGAATGTAATGTTTTCTCTTCATTCTATAATGTTAATCCAGTTAACAGATAACTAAATTTCTCTTTTTATTAGTCATTTTTTTTAACTCTCAATCTGCAATGTCTAAACACGATTTGGTCATTTTATCGGACTCTAACTGAAAGGACTTCACTCCCTTATTTCGTGACTTTGGGCTGAACATAAATCTTGGTGCTTCGAGAGTCTCTCAACTTCTTTTACTTCCATGTTTCTATAAATCTCATACCTTTCTAATTGACGACTCCAACGAATGATTATAGTTATTCATTTTCATTGATACATTTCCAATGATTTTACTATGCATGACACATTTATCGTTCATAATAATTTTATATCAATATCCAAATAACATTTCAAATCAATAATATTCTTCGACGAATATCAACTGAGAAAAGAAGGCTATGTCTTACTTTCGTGTTGTGAACGTGATTCGACTTCCAAGCTTCTACGAAAGTGGTATTCTTATTCCTTCCCAAATTTTAGACTCCAAGTAGCTCAACGTCTTTACCAATTCTTTAACTCATGGAATTCAAATGTTTAGGGATCTATTCCTTTCTTCCTTGGTCAAATTTCTTGACCGCTCTTTCAGATATCTTCAATCACATAGGTGGACATTTTATTGTGTATTAAAAGTAAGGTTAAAATAGAAAAAATAGAGATATGATCGTCATTTTGAGAAATATATTAATAGTACTAGTATATGTGCATGTGAACATTTGTTTTTAAAATGGAAGGAGGGAGGAAGATAGAGAAGGTGAGAGTAGAGAGAGAGGGGAGAGAGGTTTTTATTTTATTTTTAATTTTAGAGATATGTTATAATCATATGTGGTAATGCTTTACAAAAAATAGCAATATTTGGTTTGTGCGATTATATTACTGTCCATATTTTTTTATTTATGTTCAGTTTTGATTAAAGGGACATAATGTTAATTTATGAGATTTTAATTGACTCAAAGTTTCGTTAATATGTGATTATATATTAAGTATGTATTTTCATTTAAAAAAAAAAGCAGCATCTAGCATGGCAAGCACGACACATGCAGAATTAGATTATTGTTGTGGGGTGCACTGGGCTGAAGGTTTCAAATATGGGATGAGTCGGCCCATCTTATTCATTAAATGAGCCAGCATGAGCACGACACGAGGCACTATTGAGCTAGACTCAAGGAAGAAAATATCGGTAATATCGGAAATATCGGTAGTCCGAAAACACGGAAATATCAATAGAAATATCGGGATAATATCGATATCGATAAAAATTACATGGAAACCACGGAAATTGTAAGAAAAACTTGGAAATTTTTATTGAAACTTTGCAGGATGTTTATTTAGTCAATTATCTATTAGTTTATCACAAAAAATTGGAAGGAAATGCATTGCATGATGGATTTAACTGATTTAAGTTGATTATATAGCGAGCTGGCAAACATTGTGAGTGTAGAAAAAATGTAGTAAATAATGAAAGAAGTTTAAACACACCATAATCATTTATATAATGAATTAGTACAATGGGAGGGGTTCGAATATTTTAGCATATTTTCATATTTTCACAAAACCATAATCATTTATATATAAAGAATTCAAAACAAAACCATATATATACAAAGAATTAAAAACCTAAAATTTCTTATTTCCCACCCCCAAACTTAAATCACACATTGTCCTCAAGGTATGAGAAATAAAATAAAGAAAAACAAACAAGAAAATAACAAAACTACGAAATCCTAGGAAATGTAGAAGGACGATCAAAGATAAAACAAAAAAAACTAAGAAAATAAAATAGGAAAGAGAAATAGAAAAACAATAAACGAAAATAAAATAAAACAGAAAACAGAAAATAAAAGAAAAGGAAAAAAAAAATTGACACACCAAAGAGATTCGAAGAGAAGAACTGTGAGCTTGCCAAGGTGAGCTAACAAAAATATGAAAAAATAAACCACTACATTACACCTCGGGGCTTCGAACGCAAGACCTGAGAGCTAGAAATGGCGAAGATTCGCTGACCAACCCGCACAAGTCCACCTGTGTCAAATGCTAGAAACAGCTACAATTTAAACTGGTGTAGCAGCGGCATCTGTCATTTGAAAACCCTAGCTATTCTTGAACACACATTGGATCCCCTTCCACTCACCTCGAGCCCAGAGCCAACGGCTCTCTTTTGTCCATTCCCATGTCAGAACCTAAAGGCTTTCCCTCTCTCACTTGCACCCCGTCAGAACCTAAAGGCTTTCTCTCTCTCGAACTCTCTCGAACTCTCGTTCTCTCACTCCATTTCCCCGATCGCACCCACACCCAGCACACCCAAATCCGTCCACCCCGATGCCAGCGCTGCATCTCCACCACCCTCCTGAACTCTCCCTCCCTCTCCTCCGTCTCTGGGAAGCACGGCGACGCGCAGAGGAAGCTCGGTTGCCGTTGGGACGATGGAGTCTCTCCCTCGGTCTCTTCGTCTCTATCTCTGCCTCGGTCTCTCCGTCTCCGTCTCTGCCTCGGTCTCTCCGTCTCCGTCTCTCCCTCGGTCTCTCTGTCTCGGTCTCTCCCTCGGTTCGGTCTCGACTCTCTCCGTAATCGATCTGGTTTCCTCCTCCCTTTCTCACCTCCATCATCCTTCTTCTTCGATCTGGTTTCCTCCTCCCTTTCTCACCTCCCGGCGGCGGCGACGACACCGAATATCGCGATAATATCGCTAATATCGGTAATATCGCGATATTAGCGATATTTTAAAGATATTTTATTTTTAGTCAAAAAAATATCGCTGGGGCAAAAAAACGATATTATCAGCGAAATATCGCCGATAATATCGATTTTTAATACCTTGGCTGGACTTAATTAGGTCCGCATGTTCTAGTGAGCAGTGTTTAAAATATCGATATCGGTAGAAATAACGATAAATTTGTGGAAATATATGGATATATCGATATTGATATTAATATCGGTTCATTTTGATGGAAATTATGAAAATTTAAAATAAAACTTTAGGAACTGTCAAACACTGGTTGAAACGAAATATAAGAGTTTCTTCGATATTTAACCTATATTTCGAAAATATCAACGAAATCTGTTAATTTTAACTGAAATATTAGAGTTTCTTTGATATAGGGTGAAGTTTAGACTCTACCCTCCATTTCCATATCTTTATGTGAGAACGTAGGAACCAAAAATTCAGGGACATGATAGGAACCTTATGAAATTGAAAAGAGAATCGCCAAATAAATACTCTTGGAGATTATAAAAGGATAGTAGTGAGAATGTAGAGTAACATATTCTTGGATATATGAAATGAACTTCTAACAGCATTCACCCAATGCCCACGAAATCCTGTGTTCAATTTTTCCGTCACCCAAACCTCACCTTTTAACAGTATTCTCGAATCGAAGCACTACTGCATTTGAGTCTCATAGGTCTCATATTCCAAAGATCAAATCTTCTGCACCAAAAATAGGTGTAGGCTCTTTGTGGTCCTAATTATTGACCGACACATAATAAGTTTTTGACAATAAAGTTTAGAAAAGTTAAGTTTATAAATACGTGTTAGTCAATAATTGAGATCGCAGAGAAGTCACACCCACTTTGAGTGCAGAAAATTTGATCTCCAAATTCCAAACTTGTAGAGTTTTTACATCCAAATATGTTGTGTACTCATGCTGCACCATCAACATATTTATAGGGTTTAATTGACGTTCAAGTTCTTATACGGCAGGTAAACGTAGGTCTGGCAAACGAATCGTGTTTATCGTGTTTCGTGTAATACCTGTTATCTTAACTGATCGTGTCGTGTTTATCTTAACGGATCTTTAACAGGTTAGGTCACTTTACCCAACAAGTAAAATTATCCCACCCATTATGACCTATTAAGATTTTTTTTTTACTCTTAAATTTGCAAATACCACATTGCCACATAAATCTTACTTCAAAACATAAAAAAACCATTTGTCGTTAAGTACTACATCGACACTACAAAATAAGAGCCTAATAAAAAAGCACCAATACACTACTAGTCTACTACAAAATATCAAATGTGCAAGGATATACAAAATGAATGAGTTTTTCTTTTCAAGTTGTGAAGTTTTCTCAGAAGTTAAAATCTTGCCAATGAAACTCAAAGAATGCTCATGAAGTGCATTGTTCCAGAGAAAGAAGCAGGGCAGCTTGGCAAATTATTGAGAAGGTATGGGCAAAACGTTGAGTGCTATTACAAAATCGTGTCATGCATAATAGTCTACTTAATGCTACTTCTAATTTGTGTTTTGTAGTATTTGATGCCATTTGTGGAACACTGTAGGAGAACAATTCAGAAATAAACAATAATAATAGAAATTCTAATATTTTATTAACCAAAATATACTTGCTATGTAAAATGATAATTACACAATAATACAGAAATAAATATGACTAACTTGATTACAGAAGGTAGAGGCTAGCGTAATAGCTATAAAGGGCAATATTGTAAATGAATCTTCTTAGTTGTTAGCTTAGTGGTTAAGATAACATGTTAGTTTGTTGTATATATATACCTAAGCTGTAACATTATCATAGTGTGAAATGAAAATATATTTTACCAAATATGGTATCAACCGCCTTCTCTGTCCAACGACTCTCGTTCTTCGATCCTATCTTTTCTGCTTCTTCTTTCTGTGTTCTTGATCGATTCTTCGCTCGTGTTTGAAGATCTTTGATCGTGCTCTTTCCTCCTCATCCTTTTGACAATGGCGTCTCCTTCGTCAGAATCGGCCTCTCCCGTTCATCCCCTTCCGACTGAATCTCCCAACCCTAATTCTTCACATTCTACCTCAATCACAATCCAAAATATTGGATCCATGGTGCCAATCAAGCTCACTACCACAAATTACTTGACCTGGAGTGCTTTTTTTGCTCCGATTTTTCGTCGCTACAACCTGACTGGTCACATAGACGGCTCTACGGCAGCGCCGGTTCAATTTCTTCTTGATTCCTCAGGAAATCGCACTCTTAATCCTGCTTATGTTTCTTGGTATGAGAATGATCAAAATATTCTCAACTGGCTCAACTCCACGCTCTTGGAATCCCTAATTCCATATACTGTTGGTGTGAATTCAGCTCGCGATCTTTGGGCGAAATTGGAATCTCGACTTACCACGGCATCTCAGTCTCACATTCATGAGCTTCGCTCTCGACTTCGTACTCTTACAAAAGGAAATTCCACTGCTGCTCAGTTTTTCAGCAAATTGAGGCAATTGCTGATGCTCTTGCCAGTGCCGGCTTTCCGGTTGACGATTCCGATCTGATCTCTGTCACTCTCCACAGTCTTCCCTCAGAGTATGACTCATTTGTTGATGTTGTTCAATTTCGTCTCGGATCTACAACAATTGATGAACTACATGGCTTGCTTCTGAGCAAAGAGATTCAATTAGCCACTCGCAAGAAAAGTATCTCTGAGATGTCCTCGTTTCAGGCTCTTAACACCTCTGCAGGCATTCTTCCTCTTCCTGCATCAAACCCTAACTCTCAGGCTTTTGTGGCTCATTCTCCTTCTACATTCAGTCATCAAAGTCGTGGGATGGATCGCTCTCATAATCGCGGTCATTTCAATCATGGCAATTACAGATCTTCTAACAATCCGAGATCTTTTACTCCTCGTGGCAATAATCAGCGTTATAATCATGGAGGTCGCAACAATTTTTCTTCCTACACCAAGAAACAACCTTGTCAGATTTGTCATCAATTTGACCATGAAGCATGTGATTGTCCTCATCGCCTCAATCTCGCTTATAGTGGAAAATCCTCTCCTGCAGCGATGGTTGCTAATGCTTCTTCATCCAATCCTACTTGGATTGTCGATTCTGGCGCCACATCACACATGACCAACTCTTATGCAACTCTGCAGAACCCTGAAGCATACACAGGTCCAGAACAAGTGTATATTGGTGATGGCAAAGGTTTGCCCATCACTCATTCTGGTTCTACTACTTTGCATACTTCTACTAGTGCTTTTAAACTCAATAAAGTACTTTATGTGCCTGCTTTGAAACATAACATTCTCTCTGCGAATCAATTTCTGCTTGATAATCATTGTTCATTGCATTTTTATCCCTCTCACTTCACTGTGAAGGATCTTTCTTCGGGGAGGATGCATTTTAAAGGTCCTGTTCAGCAAGGGTTCTATCCTTTTCATTTTCCTCATCTGCAACTGGCAATCATAAGGCTCTCACAGCTACTGCAAAAGCTTCTAAGGATGTCTGGCATCAAAGATTGGGTCACCCATAAGTCAAGATTCTTCATAAACTTGCTTCTCAATCTTGTATTCCTGTTTTGGCTCATACAACTAAGTCATTCTGCTCAGATTGTGCATTGGGCTAAAAGCTCAAAGCTTCATTTTGTATCTACATCTTGTACAACTAGCAAACCTCTAGAACTTGTCCACACGGATGTTTGGGGACCATCACCTCTAGCTTCTTCTCAAGGTTTTCGGTATTATATCATTTTTGTGGATGACTTTACTAGATACTGCTGGTTTTATCATTTGAAATGCAAATCTGATGTACTGTCAACTTTTATGGAATACAAATCTCTGGTTGAAAATTCTTTGTGTACAAATATTATCACTTTGAGATCTGATTCTGGCAGAGAGTACTTGAGCAATCATTTCTCTCAATTCTTGGCTGCACATGGCATTCATCATCAACTCACTTACCCCCACACACTTGAACAAAATGGGTGTGCAGAGCGCAAACATCGTCACTTGGTTGAAACTGCTCGCACTCTTTTGACAACTTCCAAAGTACCCCACATCTATTGGGTGGAGGCTTTCACCACTGCCATCTATCTTATCAACCGATTGCCCACTGCATCCAGACAGTCTCCTTGGGAATCTCTATATCATCGAGCTCCAAACTATGAACTTCTCAAGGTCTTTGGTTGTGCTTGCTTCCCATGGCTCAAGCCTTATTCTTCCTCAAAACTGGATCCTAAAGGCAGAGCCTGTGTCTTTCTTGGATACAGTTTAAATCACAAGGGCTACAAATGTCTTGACCCTGCTACCCACAGAGTGTATATTTCCCGCCATGTCCTCTTTAATGAATCCAGTTTTCCATTCCATCATTTCTCCCCCATCACACCTTCAGCTTCCTCCCTGCCCCCTGGGCCTACATCACCTATACCATCCACCCTTACTTTTACTTTTCCTATTTCTTCATCCTCTAGTCCTACAACCACTTTGCCTCGATCCCCCTCCACTTCACCATCCATCTTCTCCCATAACAATTCCCCACCTATCCACTCTAGTCCTGTAGTGCCAGTTCAAGATTCCATTCATTCCATTCCTATTCAACCCCCTAACACCCATCAGATGCAAACCCGATCCAAATCTGGCATTTTCAAACCAAAAGCACTCACTACCACTAAACACCTTCTACCCTCTCATCTCTCAGTGGATTACATACCTAAAACTTATCTCCAAGCTTCAAAATATCCTCATTGGTGCCAAGCTATGCAAGAGGAAGTCATTGCTCTCATCAAAACTGGAACTTGGTCTCTTGTTCCCCAGTCTCTATCACAGAATATTGTTGGCTGTAAATGGGTCTTCCACATCAAAAGAAAGCCCGATGGCACTATAAACCGGTACAAAGCTCGGCTCGTTGCCAAGGGCTTCAATCAACAGGAAGGTCTAGATTATACTGAAACTTCAGTTCGGTAGCCAAGCCAGTCAATATTCGACTCATCCTCACTCTTGCCATTCAGTTTGATTGGTTCTTGAATCAACTCGATGTCAGTAATGCTTTCCTACATGGGACACTCAATGAATCTGTTTTCATGCAGCAACCTTCTGGATTTGAGGATTTAACTCAACCATCTCATGTTTGTCACTTGCATCGTTCGTTGTATGATTTAAAGCAAGTTCCGCGGGCTTGGTATGACAAGCTTCATGGTGCTCTTACTTCTCTTGGCTTTGTTGGATCTCCCAGTGACCATTCATTGTTTATCAAAAAGGGTTCAGATATGATTTTCATTCTTGTCTATGTTGATGATATTTTGGTTACTGGTCCAAATTCTACTGCCTGTAAACAAGTTATTCAGCAACTTAGTTCCCTGTTTCCCATCAAGGATTTAGGTCCGCTACACTATTTTCTTGGTCTTGAAGTCAAAAGATCTTCTTCTGGTATCTTTCTCTCTCAGACCAAATACATATTGGATTTGTTATCCAAAGCCAACATGACTGGAGCTAAACCTTGCAGTACTCCTCTCAGCACCTCCAAACTTGATCATGATTCTCCCTTATGTGCTAATGCTTCTGAGTATCGTTCCCTCGTTGGTGCTCTGCAATATCTCACCTGAACTCGTCCTGATCTCAGTTTTGCTGTTAATCTTGTCTGCCAATATATGCACACTCCCAAAATTTCACATTTTCAGGCTGTTAAGCGTATCCTCCGATACCTAAAGGGATCTCTTGATATTGGTCTCTGGTTCTCCAAGTGTTCCACTCCTCCTACTCTCACTGCTTTCTCGGACGCTGAATGGGCTGGCTGTGCTCTTGACCGCCGATCAACTGGAGGTTATTGTGTATATTTGGGCAATTCTTTGATTAGCTGGAGTGCTAAGAAGCAACCGACTGTTGCTCGATCTTCCACCGAAGCAGAGTACAGGTCTCTTGCTAACACTGCATCTGAAATAACCTGGCTCTGTCAATTATTGGTGGATATTGGCTATTGCTTACCTACAACACCTCACCTCTGGTGTGACAACCTTTCAGCTATATCTCTAGCAAAAAATCCTATTTTTCATGCTCGGATAAAGCATGTAGAAATAGACTATCATTACATTAGGGAAAAAGTCTTTGCTAAACAGATTGCTGTCCATTTTGTCTGCACTCAAGACCAAGTAGCTGATATCTGCACCAAGTCTCTGTCCAAGCTTCGATTTTTCTTCCTTCGTGACAAACTTCAACTTCGGATACCCAAGTTTAGTTTGAGGGGGGATATAAAGGGCAATACTGTAAATGAATCGTAAATGAATGTTCTTAGTTGTTAGCTTAGTGGTTAAGATAACATGTTAGTTTGATGTATATATATACCTAAGCTGTAACATTATCAGAGTGTGAAATGAAAATATATTTTACCAAATAATAGCTATGTCCTTCGAACAATATTTACGTCACACTTCTGTGCTTGTGGTTCTTCAACGTCTGTTCTACCAGATTCAACTACCCAATTCTAAAACACCCCAACCCCATTTTATTTAAAAATTGTTTTAAAGCCTTGGTAAGCCCATGGGGCCCACCTTGTTTTATTTTTGTGTTTTCCGGTCTCCCTCTCTCTTCTCTCAGTTCTCTCTTCTCCCTCACCTCTCCCGCAACTCACTCTCTCGGCCTTCTCTATCTCAACCCATCCGAGAGTTTTCTTACCAACAAACATCACCCCGTCTTTATCTCGTCGCTACGAACTCAACCTTAGTCTTGGCATCTTGGAAGTCGAACCAGGAAGCCTCATACATGAGCTCCAACGCAGACCGACGCCTTTCGAGGCCATTTCCGGCCAAACCACGGTGCGTTGGCCAGCGTGTAAGGTATCAATCTCTTTGTCCCGTCGAGTAGTACAACTTTCCTTTTTGTTTCACTCAATTTTGTTGAGTATTGAATAAGTTATACGCATTTGAATCTTACCCAGTTTCCGGCGACCTCAGTGGCTTTTGAGGCATTTTCCGGCCAAAACACGGCTAGTTAGACGTCACGTGAGGTACCATTCTCTTCATCTCTTTGAGGGCTACAACTTTCATTTTTGTCTTGCTTGATTTCGTTGAGTAGTGATAAAGTTATGGTCGTTTAAAGTTGGGTGGTTTTCCGGCCGAATTTCCGGCCTTTTGAATCCTGTAGCCCAGAAAATCCAAGGCCTTTGGGCCTTCCCTGCCTAGCCCATCCTAGCCCGTTTTTATTCTATTTAATTATTTATTTTCAGCAGCCCAAGGGGCCTTAGGCCGGTTTTAAGTGAAATGGCTTAAAGCCCGGTCCTTTGTGTGAGGCCTTAAGGCCTTTGTGGTTTGTGTGTGTGTGTATTAGGCGTGTGTGTGTGTGTTTAAGTGCATGTGTACGTGTGTGTATATGCATGCTTGCATGCATGTGCATGCCGTGCATGTGTGTGTTTGTTGTGTGTGTGCTTGTGTGGTGCGTGTGTGTGTTTGGGCTTAGGCCCAAACCACATTTCTTCACCCTAAACCCTTTATGTGCTTAGGGGCAATTATTGTGATGTTTCCGTCTTCGCTAGTGGCGCAGCTTTTGGCAACTAAGTACTGTGAGTGGACCCCTTCTAAAATTATATGATTTTATGCTTTAATTGCATAAATGAATAACATGCCTTATGAGTTTATGATTTGATTTATGATAAGCATGTTTATGGAATATATTGATTATCGTCTCGTGTTTTGATGAGGAATTAATTGTGGCCTATATTGAGCTATATTTTAATATATCGTATTTTCTATAAAAATCATGAACTGGTAGACTATCTAATAGATGACGATATGATGCTAGAACATGTTTTTGAACCCCTCTTTATAGTATAAACGATGGTCGGTATTTATACTATGAAGTGGTTATTTATGAGAGGCGTAACATTTTGTGCGTACCTAGTGGACACTATACCGCCTAGGGCGAGGATTTGGTGTTGGCATTTAGGCCGGGAGAAATAATCCCTAGCTACGGGCTGAGGGACATGAAGAGGCATTGGGCCGGGAGTTGGTAATCTTTGGCTACGGGCACAGAGACCATGGAACAGGCATTGGACCGGGAGTTATATTTATTCAATGATCTTACTAGCAGCACACCGCGCTTACGAGACGATTTATGAGACGTTTACTATTTTGATTTCTGCGATGATATTCCGCTATATGGCTTTTGAGATATATTTTTGGCATGCTAGGATTTTTATTAAATCCATAATTTATTATGCTAGTAGTTTTCATTATATAAACTGTGGGGGTTAGTATCTTGATCATTGTTTTATTATATATATATATATATATATGAACTTGGTCCACTCACATTTGTTTTGCGTCCCCATTCAGGACTTAGAATCGAGGCATACAATCCCGGCGTCAAGACACTTTCGCAGCAGCATCTTCGGATCCTCTCGATGTAGGACTCACTTCTTCATTCATTAAATTTTATCTTAATTCTTTTTAGTGACTAGGTTTAGTTGTATGCTCTGAGCACGTTCCTTAAATTATTAATTCATAGTATTTAAAATTTCTAACCTTTATTTACTTCTTATTCTTAGCTTTTGTATCATTTAATGGCTTTCGTCACCCTCGGGTGTCGGCCAGCACATGTCTATCCTGGTATTTGGGGAATATCAGGGTCGGGGCGTATCAAATTCTACAATCCGCATTGGATTCTAGAACTCTAGCGAATTTGCTTTTTGTGTGTTTAATCTCTAGAAAATTCGTATAGAAGAAAAGAGCAAGAAAAAGATTATCTATTTGGATACTATGGATTGCAGATATATAGGCTGTTTCACACCCTTTCAAATACCAGTTCAGTGTATTTGAAGGTTCACAACTCTTTCTAAGAGTTGTGTCTTTTAATCAAAACGTTTTTAATTAATAATAAATTAATTAAAAACTTAATCCGAAAATTAAAATTAATGAATCCCAAGGCTCTTGTCTTGATTAATTAATATTAATTGTATTTAGGCTATATTATACAAGCCTAATCCACACAACCATAAGGCCCAAGCCTTCAATCCATTTCCAAATGACCCATATTCTAATTACTAGACTAAAGCACTAAATCTATTAAAGGCCCTTGAGAATCTTGTTTTCCCCAATGTGGGACAAGAGTCTCAAAACTTCCAACAAACACGAGCACTATGAGATTCCAAGTAACTGTCGACTTCATCCCGACAATGATCTATTTAGAGATCAGGAAGAGCACAAGATTCATTTGGATATAAACGAATGGCAGTGCGGATACTGTAAGAAAAGCTTCCGTGCTGAAATGTTTCTTGATCAACATTTTGACAACAGACACTACAACATTCTGAATGTAGTATGTGGACTGTATTTCCTTGCCTTAATATGTTAGGAATTAGGAACACTTGTCCAATTAGTGCAAGAAGCAATTTCATTTTCAGCTGGCCCTCTTCGCATTTGTTATCCTCTGTTATATTTATATTTTGTTCTTCTAGTTGATAATCCTCAAATTATTACTTTAGTCTAAAGAAAGCTTTTCAATTGCACTGTACAAATTAATAGTTTTTGGAGCCGAATTTCCCTTTATTACGAGGTTGCCACTGACTCTCTCTGCCGCTGCTCTTCATGCCGCGTGTTGATGATCGTGGAAAGGCAGGGGTGCGATGGTCAGTTTGGTCTGTAGGGTTTCGAACGGGTTGGGTGAGTTAGAGAGTTTCATTTCCTTTCTTTCTGAGCTACAGTGGGACTCGGTGAGACCATGCTGTCGAGAGAGAGAGAGTGAGCGAGCAGAGAGAGGAGAGAGAGAGAGGGAGAGATAGATAGGGATTTGGTGAGAAGAAGGCATGCGGCTTGCAGGCAGACAGAGTCATATGGGGTGTACGATTTGAGGGTGAGAAAGAGAGGGGATTGAGTGGTGATGCTCGATTTGGGAAGAGAAAGAGAGAGAGAGAGAGATAGAGAGAGAGAGAGAGGGAGAGGGAGAGAGCGATTTTGGGGTTAGGCGAATGCGGGAGAGAGGGCGAGGGTTGTTGCATCCGTGTCACTCAAAGTGGGTTGCGAGAGAGTGAATGAGCTACATTCTAGGGTTTGAAAGTTGGTTTCGAGAAAGTGAGGGGGCCGGAGTTGAGGTAAAGCTTGGGCTGGGTTTATGGAATGGGGGAGGAGGGTGTGGAATGTCATGGAGAGGAAGGGAAAGGGAGGTCTGCCAAAAACGTGGGTTGCAGGGCTACAATGAGGGATATGGCGTGGATTGGCAGGGAGGGGAAGGAAGAGGGAGTAGTGAAGCTTGCCAAAAAGAGTGTTGGATTGATTTTTCCTCCTCAAATCAAGGGTTGGTGTCGGGATTGAGGGGTGGGTCCAAAATGGGTATGGTTGTGAGGGAAAGAAGGATGGCAGAGACAGAGGTCATGGAGTTGAACGTGGGAATTCCAAAAATCGAAGGCTGCTGTCAGTGGGTGTCAATATCAGCAACGAGCATGATTGGGATGTGAGTTCTCTCAACCTTTTGATTAATTTTTTATATTTTGGCTTTTTATATAAGCTATGTAGCAGCTGAGATTCAAAGCTGCTTCGCTTTCTTTCTCAAGTGTTTCATCAAGGAAGAAGATGGTCAGTTAGTTCTCTACTTTTCAAAAAATAAAAAATAAAAAAATCATCATTTGAAGAATTTTGGGAAAGTTTTGAGATTTTGAGCTTATGAATTCATATTTTGCAAACCAAATGAACCCAAGATCCGCATTCCGAAATCTTCAGGACCTGTGGAAGAGGAATATGCCATTGAGATTATTCTTAGTGCATGCTGAAACATAATCTCAACAAGACATTACACTGTTGATTTAATAATCAACTATAGTATTGTGGTCTGAATTCTTTCTTATTAAACGACTACTCTCACTCCCAAGAGATAAATTCAGGCGAATTGGCCCTTGCCATTACCTGGAAACGACTACTCTCACTCCCAAGAGATAAATTCAGGTATTGCATGTTGGATTTGAGTTCATTTTAAGGTTAATCAAAGGTAATCCTCACATTTGCATTTTTCCGGTGAGTTTCAGAAATCTGACGGGTAATTTCTGGTTAAACGGCAACCAAATATCTTCCTAAGTGTCGTCATCCTTCTTGGTACAAGGCCACAGCACAACTGCACACCACCCTTTTGCTCATGCTGGTGAGGTAACATCACTATTTAATCTGGGGGAATTTGTGATGTGGTTATTAATCTGCTTTTTGATTTATTTACTATTAAAATGTGTATGTTGCTTAGATTTATGTTGGTTTCGATACGAAAACTAATTTGTTGTGCTAAGTAGTAATGGCCTATTAAATTGGGAACATATATTTGTCAAAAGAAACTATGCTTGCACAAATTTAGTCCCAGTCGTATTATTCTTCTTGGCTTTTTGTTTGCAATGATCAATGACGGTACCCGTCGTTCTACTCATAAATCCTTCCCTCACGTGGTGAATTGGATTTTGGAAGCGAAGTTGTTGGCCATGAAGATTTAATACGTAGTTTGAATGATCGAAGGTTTGGTTTTTATGGTTGGAATGTTCGACTGAAAATTATAGACTCAACCAAATAATAGTTTATAAGAAATTAACACATATACAAGACCATTATAAAAGAAAAATAAACAAAGCTGAAATCATTGCAATAACTATAATAATTGGTTTTGTCATTTATATATGGTATTCCTTGATAATTTATTTATAACTTTGTTGTTGTGTCATAAAAATGAACTCTAATATATTTATATTCTTTTGAATGCCTTGCAACGAAACTCACCAATGAGTTACAAACCGTGAAGGAAATAGCAGAAGAAAGATTACTGCTTGAAGCCTATCCTGCTACACCTGTGAAATATAATGCAGATAAGGTACCCCAATATACTTTTTTTAGATACATTTTCTCACGCAACCCTTCGCTATGTGAATGTGCACTTTCCTAGGAAATTTACAGAGTTTTCTATTATTGGATGCATTTGGTTATATAAATGTTTGAGATTTATTGTCTGAAAAAGAAAGGGCAGTGGACCATAAATTGACATGTCAATTGGAAACTGAGGAGCCTGATGCAACTAAACAAATCTATCTACATTACTTCTAAAAATTAGGGGAAAAAAATGAAAATGTTAAATGAAAATGTTCTGTTTCTTATGCTTATTAGGGAAAAAAAATTATGTTTCATTCTGAGTTCATGTTTTTTCCCACTATGTCTAGAAGTATGAATTTTCCTTTTTGTTGACCTTTTTAGTCGGTGCTCATAATTTGGATTTTTTTTAAAACTAAAATTGGTTGCAGAGAGAGAAAGAGTTCGTTCGACGCTTAAATCAGACCCCTGAAATTTTCGTGTCTCCAGAGTTCTCCAGCTAACCACAGACCCCTGTTTGCCGTACTTTCATTGCACGCAGATATTCTGGTATACTCACTAAGCATAAATTTAATGGTTTACAGAAACTTTTAATTGTTCCATCCTAAATATCTTCCTTTATTCTTGATGCCATGCTACTTGCTCAACCCCTTCTTATCAGTTGTGTCACCTAAAATTAAAATGAAATGAAATAGTTTCCCTACATGCTTAATGTTGTAAATGCTGGTGATGTTAGAAATTTAGTGATTGTTGCTCTCTATAATATATCCGTGCTCATGTGTTTTACAGAAGCGCAGTTAAAAAAAACTGGTTGCTGCTTGGATGAGAGGAGTATAATTTCATTAAAAAAAAACTGTTTTGGTTGCTGGTGGTGGTTTATCTGTATTTGATTGGTAATTTCTACATTTGATGATTCAATAATATTTTGAACTTCCATTTCTGTTGTTAGCAGATAACGTCTCCATCTCGATTCTGCATGATCAAAATGTATGTCGGGCTAAGACAACCATGCTTTACAGGTAGAGAGGAAGCTACGATTAGAAACAATGTTGAGTGAAATTTAAGTCTTCATTTGACAAAAAAAAAAAAAACTTTGATTCAGATATCTATATTTGTTGTTTTATTCTATTGACAATTCGTTGTTTGATTGGTTTTGTTGCTTTCCTCCACTTTTTAACTCATATTCGTTAATATACCTATTTTATTTGGGTGATAAGTTCACTCTTTTAATCTTAGCTAGAGGAAGATATGGTGTGGTTTTGTTAATGGCAGTGGATGATTTGGATGAAAGTATGTATCTTGGGGATTTTTTTGCTTGCAGTTGTTTAGGCCAACACTGAAGAAGTTTTGTGGAATGAGATTCTTATACCAAATTGTTTCTCCGTTTATGGCAGGTAATAAACGTGGTCCAACCAGTAGCTGATAAAATGTCATTGTATATATGCTTTTGTCGATTTCTGCTAAGATAATGAGGGAATCCAAAGGATCGAGGCCAATCGATCTGAGGTTTGTACTACTCTATCCCTTTCTTTCTCTCTTTCTGTGAATTTCTTGAAATTGACGACGCACGTTCTGATTCTTGCTATGTTTGGGAGCGGAGAAAGCTCTAGATTAGCTTTGATCGCTTGAATTTTTTCTTATTTAGTTCAGCACAGTCGGACTACATAATCCTACCATTGGGCTATTTCTAGGGACGTTTATGTTTACTTTTGTTAGTTTGTTGACAGTTTGGTATGTCTATCATATTGATGGAACTAAATTGTGAGTTAATTATGGTTTAGGTTGTAGAATTCTGAATTCGGAATTCCCTTTGGAAACTGTCACAAGTGATGTGTCTGTTGTGGCTACAGGAATCAAAAGCGAGTGAAAGGTAAAGCTTCTCTCCAAACATTCATCGGCAGCAATTCCAACCAGAGCCAGGTATATCTTTCCTCTTGCTTTATCTCTATGATGTTCTATCCCAATTTCTCTCAGACAGTAAGGGTTTTGGTTTGCTTTCTTGGATTAGATTGTATATATTCCATTGCATCTCAGTTTTCTCTGATTTAATAGCATAATCTGGCTCTTGGTATTCTAACTTTGCTTTCTTTGCATCAAAATTGTATCTGGCTCTTGGTTTTCTTGATCTAATTTTTTTTATTTCTATAATTAGATAAATTAAGGAAAAAATTTCTATTAATATATGAGTATTCGATTCTGATATATCATTTTCCTCCATTTGACGTGATTTTGGATTATTAGGACTCAGGCTTGCCTTCCGTGTTTTCGGTGAAAAAAGGCTTTTAGCTGAGTAATTTACTAATTTGGTTTTGATTATCAGCTATATAAGAGAATGGGGGGTTTAATTTGTAATTATTTTGATGCGGTGAAATTTTTTAGGTTTTGCAGATTTTTCCAATTCATGATGATAAAAATTTAGGGCTTTCATTTGTTGATGTGATTTCCACGTACTCTGAATTCAAATAGAAATGCAAGGATATATTAGACTTAATAGTGTTTTTAGGCATTCACGTGTTTCCTTATTATAGATGATGTATTTCTGTAGTGCACTAATATTTGTCTTAAAAAAATTAATTAGTTTTTCCTTCCCCGGTGTTTGCTAAGGCGCTTCTCGAGACGGCATTGGAACGTGCAGGGGATGAGGATTCAGGGTATGAGGAGGAAATGGTAAAGGAGGAGGACCAAAACGCGTTCTCTGTTGGGATAATTGGTGCCCTGAATGCCAGAAAGTCTGCACTCACCACTCATTAATTAGATGGTTTGTTCCTTTGGTTTTTATGGTTTAAAGGTGTTTAATTTGATGGTGTTTTTGATAAATTGTTAGTTTAGTTATTGATTGTATTGAGTGTGGTTTATGCTTTTGGTATTAAGTATTTTTTTCATATCCCTGAACTCCTTTTCAGATAGAGAAATGTGAGTTCTTCTAAGGTTAAAGTGAGTGTCAATCAGAGAGTATTTTGTTAGAATATCTGTCTAAACAAAAAATTTCTTTGGAATGAAACAAATGAAACAACTTTTGAGACTCCCACATTTGAGATGTGTATTGGTTTTGAAAGTATATGACCAAAAGTTACATTTTCATTCCCATTTACAGAAATACAACTTGCAGAATTAGTTAAATGTATCAAATGACTAGCATGTGAATTTGTGTATAGTTAAAATAATCTTATCCTTGAGGATTATTGATTGGGCAAATTTGGTTGAGTAAATATAGGGTTATTGATTGGGCTAATTTGGTTGATTAGTTGATCTGATTCGGATGGGTTTGAGGGTTAGTTTGTAGGAATGTTCCATTGGTGTTCTTTTTCTTCTACACAGTTACCAAAATCTCAAGTCCCCATTTGATCCTCGAGTACGACCCAATCATATTTGCTATAATACAATCATATTCTTGAGGTTTAGAATTTTTACACTCATGTTTCTGCCCATTATATGTTTCTGCCCAATCATATTTGCTCATGTTTTCGCTGTTAGAAAATACATGCATGCTCTCTAAACTAAAATACACTTCTCAGATTGCTGTGATTATTGGATTGGATTTTCCTTATTTACCTTCATATAATGGTGGGTTTAAATTTTCAGGTGAAAGTTTTTACACAACCTCATTACTTGCAAAGTTTTGTTCAGTCAACATTCAAGGCCCTGCCATCAGATCAAGTTAAAGGTACGAATCACTGTCATACTATTTTCGTAACTTTTTTTTCCCTTGCTGAACACAATGGAGTGAATTGTCTTCATTTGCATTCTTGCATTTGAACTTAAGTAGGTTCTTACATGACATTTGTAAGCTTTTCATTAGTCATGAAATATGATACATTTTCTCTTTACAAACTGATGACATACAATTAGTTTCTTTTTGGTTGGGTTGAAATGATATTGATTGTGTTGTTAAAGCTCCTTTTTATAGTTGAGTTGAAAATCATGTTAATAGAATATTTTTTTTGGTTGGTCCAATCTGTAACAGATGAGATTGTTTTGTGTGAAATTATAATGGAATCTCAAATTTGTCAGGTATATCTTAAGATTCTTCATTGCATATTCACCTTCTCACAACTTTTACATTGTCTCTTGATTGGATGGATTTTTATAATTTCCATGATCAACGGATGCATGAAGTAAGGAGGAAGCTACTATTATGGAGCTTCTTTGGCATGGTAAGTTGAAGTTGCAAATCATTTTTTTTGTTCATGGAATTCATTATCTTGCTATATTGGCAATTAGCAATGTCTGACAATTGGTAAAGTGTATTCATTTTTCTGCTTAATTTATATTAAGAATATTTGCATCTTAATACTTATTTTAATTATGTTAATTTGTCCCCTTTTTCCATAGAACTTTGTGCAATGTGAATGTAGGTTATTCTCAATCCTCAGATAGTGATTATTTAACGACTTCTCCAAACTTGACTACTTGGCTTAATGTATGCTTGGATTTTAAAGGGGCACTGTATTTATGGGTTGTTGTACGATTCTAGGGAGATAAAGAGAGGGGATTGAGAGGTCATGCTAAGGAGAGTATATTACTTGCCACTGAGGAATATACTTCATATAATAGCAATGTGATGATGTGTGGCATGCTTTAACTAAGGGATATTTTTGTGTAGTAAGAAAGCCATAGAGTCACATTTTTGTTTTTGTTTTATTTTTTTGGATTTGTAACTGAAATTTTATGTATGTTTCTTCTGTTTCTTAAGGAAACAGAACTTTTTTGGAAACCATCTCTTTCTAATCAAAGACAATAAGTTTCTTACCACTCATTGTACAATGTGTTTATATGCCAGCTCACTTGAATGTATATAAAAAAAACTATTTGTTCATTATTGTGTTGAATTTATTCATCCGATTACACCTGAAACAACAGGTTCCCGCAGCAACGTGCGGGCATATTTTCTCGTCTATTCTAAAATTGAAGGGGGAACGGCACTGTAGCTGACTCATTCTTTGCCACTCGATTTCACCCTATTTACAACAATACCGGCCGAATTGCATAGGTTGGGAGGGTAATTCTCAAAAATTCAAAGGGTAATTTTGTCCATATGGCTTATCAGGGAGCCACTCGATTTCATGCTATTTACAACAAAACCGTGAGGTTTGGGGTGGTATTGGGGTTGGGTTGGAAGGGTAATTTTGTCCTGTGCGTTTGAGACGGATTGGGGTAGGTTTGGGTTTGCTGTCATTCAGTGAGGGTTTCGGGGATGAGAGGCCATGCCTCCGAGAGAGAGAGAGAGAGAGAGAGAGAGAGAGAGAGAGAGAGAGAGAGAGAGGGAGAGAGAGAGAGAGAGAGAGAGAGAGAGAGAGTGATAGATAGAGCGACAGGGAGGAGTGGGAATTTCAGCGCCATTGCTGCAGATCCTCGATTTCATGAGTGGGAGAGATGTTTGGAGATTTTTTTCCCACTTTTTGAGAGACAGATGGACAGGGAGAGAGAGAGGGCAGAGAGCATGCTGTGCATTTTTCTGGGGTTAACGGGCTTACCCCACGGGGTTGGTGAGCAGAGGATGTCTGAGGGAGGTATGGGAGAGGAGAGGGTTTTCAGTTTTGTCATCTGATTCAACAGGTAAAACACTGTTCAGAAATCATTGTTTATTGTTTGTTTCCCATTTGTTTTGTTAAAACTATGATTGGCATTTTTTTTGTTTCGGCAAAATTGTAATGGATGTTTATAGCCTGTTTAGTTGGGTGTTAGGAAGATAAGTCTGTTTGGTGCACTATTTTGTACACTGTTAAAGTAAGGTTGTGTCTTTTAAACTTGGGGTGTTGCACTAAGCTCATTTTTGTTTTCTTCATGCTTTGCTGTTGTTTCCTTCTCAACAAGTTGAATTCAGGTTCCTTTTCTGCTTTTCATCCTTTTAATATCCCTCTGTTGCTAGGTTGTTTCTCCATGTTTTGTTGCTTCTCTATTTGTGTGATAAGGGTGTTAGAAGGCTGTTTTATTTATTGTTTTGCTTCTCTGTTGCTAGGTAGTATAATTTTGAAACAAGTTTCTTCTCTATGTGTTCAAATGCATCATTGTTTTTCGTTCGTCAGTTTCTTTTTCATCATTAGCTTTCTTATGATCATTGATAGTTTAATACCACTTGGGAATTCACATGCCACAACAATTTTAATTTCCAAGCTCCCCTGTTTGCAGCTTTAGCACGGTAAAACTTTAGTTTGATTTAGTATTGTGCTTTAGAGTGAACTTTGAGTGTTGATATATGTGTGAGTAGAGTTGTAAAACAGAGAGAGAAAATGAACTTTAAACAAATGAAGGAAACAAAATTTGAGCAAAAACTTCCAATCTTTAAAACTGTGAGGCTTTTCAGTAGGTGTGTTTTGTAAAAAGGTTTTAATCTTTCTTAGAAATGTAGCTTTCTCAGTTATGCAATGCTTTTAATAGGTGTATTTTTATCTTTCCTAATTGTTGATTTAATTTGGGTTTTGTTAATAGTTTAATTTGGAGTTTAATTGAAGGTTTAATTCAGGTTTGTAGTTGGGGATTAATTGAGGGTTTAACTTTACTTAGCTTAAATTGCATAATGTGGCTTTAAATTTGAAAGTGTCTTGGTTGCTAACGGATCTGCTTTCTTTGCAGATTACAGAAATTTGGATCGTTTGAGGAAGAAGTTGGTTCCATTTGTTCAAAGCCTACTTAGCTATCTACCTTTTTTTTATTTATATTTGTGAAGCTTTCATGGTTAGATTTTAAATATATAATTCAATTTTTGCCGTTTGAGCTTATATTGGAACTGAGTTTCTTTTTATTTAATGTGCGTATCAGTATTTGTCCATTTATGTCAGGGTTGAGATGACTAGGCATCCATTTGGTAGTTTTACGTTAGAATGGAACTAGGCAATAGATTAGGTTGCAAGATAAATTTCTAAAGTTCTACTAGCTTAGGTACAAATTATTTTTCAGAAATCAAACATGCAAAATTTCTATGCATGTTTTGAAATTGGTTGTAGGAAGTGGGCTTCCAAGTCTTAACAATAATGGAGACTATGAAATCAGGGTAACCAATTAGGGGTAACTATATATTTCAAAAACGCAAATTTTACACACACACACACATTCTGTAAAGAATCAGTTTTGATTGGCACAGATGAAGATGAACAATAAGAGGGTTTTCTATTCAAATTTACTTTTTGTAATTTTAGGGGTTTTGATCTTACATGTGTATTTAATTTGGTTTTGTTTTCAGTTTCAGGAGACTCTGGTTTTTCGTTTTTTGGGCCTTTTCTTTGCAGCCTAGAAAGCCCTCTGTGCTCAAGGTAAACAATTTCAACTTTTTACTTCTAAAGCATTGCTCTTATTTAGCAGTAGGAATTCCATTGTATACAATAATATGTTTTGTGTTATGCTAGGAACCCTATTTCCCCTTTTTGTCTTTCTGTGCACTCGGAAAACAAGCCACCCTAATTGAAGCTTTCTATCTTCAGATCACCAGCAATAATCTCATCAAGGTCCCAGGAGGAATCACGAGGATTCACTGCCGAATTGGTATGTACTTATGCTTTTGTAAAAAGCCCTTTTCTTGCCATTTTTCTGTTTTAGAATTGGACCAAAATGATTATGAGTGATTTTGAAAAACACTAAGATAGAAAAAATGGCTATCAAGCAAGCAGGTTGTGAGTATTCAAACATATAATTTTCAATCAAATGAAATAGTTGGCACCACAAGCTTTTAAGTAGGGAGGGATGTTTGTTTATATATTTTTTGGTTTTTATTTTTTCTCCTCAGTTGTTATTTTCCTTTTACTGTATATTGTATCTTCTGTTTGCGAATGCCTCTGTTTTTTGACTTGCTGAGAATGCCTGTCAAGGGTGGCTCAACAGGACTGGGAAATCTGGAGAGGGGCGAGGGGTTAGTAGAGGGGGGATTGGGCATGTAGCATCAGGGTTAGGTTACCAAGATGGTGTTTGAGTGGGTTTGGCAGTGGGTCATATGGGGGACGGTGGTGATGCACTCCGAACTCACGAAGGTGCACAAACATTACGAGTGCATCACCATAAAAAAAATTTCATATTTAATTGTTATACCCTTCACAATAAATAATTTCCACATCAGAGTTTTTTGAAACTTAGAAGACACCGGAAACACGATTCGCATAGCAGACTAGCTTATAGATGATATAATAGTCGGATAACAAAGTTCTCAACTGAGGGTTCAGAGAGACTCATTTCTATGTCCAATTATTAAGTATCTTTTGATTTTTATTGATATAAAGACCTTTTCTTTCTCCAATTATGCCTCTGTCAACATTTTTGGTTTAAATGCACTCAATAAGTACTCACATTTATCTGATAGACCAGATGAAAAAAGAGGGAAACATGGATTATATATGCACGAAGGGCACCACAACAAATTGTCTTGGAATTTGAGTTTGGATTGGAATTTAATTTCGATATACAAAAGCACTCACCTTAAACACAGAGGAATCAGATGCTTGAGTTAAACAATTAGCTGATCACAAATTGGTAGGGGTTTAATTTGAAGAAATGGCATTGAACACATTTAATTGACTGAATGCTGAAATTCTCCCTTATGCACCAAATTGGATTCATAAACTGAATCTCATTTTCATGTTCTGTTTTCGTTCTGTTAACAGAGGAACTGCAATTTCAATGGATATCATTTTTGTTGCTCTTCCATATATTTTGGTCATTTAGCAAGAATTTTTTAGATTTTCTCTGTTAAATTTGAAAGTGTCTAAGTTGCTAATGGATCTATTTTCTGTGCAGATTATAGAAATTTGGATCATTTGAGGAAGAAGTTGGTTCCATGCCGTTTTGAGGTATATAATTATACCCCTTCATCTTTGTTCAAAGGCTATTTAGCTATCTACCTTTTTTTTTATTTTTTATTTTTTATTTTATATTTGTGAAGCTTTCATGCTTAGATTTTAAATATATAATTCAATTTTTGTCGTTTGAGCTTATATTGGAACTGAGTTTCTTTCTATTTAGTGTACATATCAGTATTTGTCCATTTATGCCACGATTGAGATAATTAAGCATCCATTTGGTTGTTTTACCTTAGAATGGAATTGGGCTTCTTTCTATTTTGTGCACGTATCTGTATCTCTCTATTTATGCAAAGCTTGAGATAGCTTAGCATGTATTTGTAACAAACCCTGTTCCAATTGAATGATTGCTGTATTTGTTCCAAACGCCATTTGAATTGGATGATTGGTTTATTTGTTCTAAACCCCATTAGAATTGTATTTGCTTGGATGGGCTATTAGTATAGGGATAGTTAGATTAGGAATTTTGTTTTGCCATTTTGTGATTGAGATCTAATTACAGGTTTTGTGTTGCATGTCTCCGTGTTTCGGTGTCTGTCCTGTCTGTGTGGTTAGTTTGGGCTGTTTTTAGATTCTTAAATGGTGCTGCTTAATATTATTTGTAAGGTTATTTTTACGGGTTGGGAGGGGGGGCAGATATGCTATGGCAAATGAACTTTGAGTTGTGGAAAAAAAAAATTCAAAAAAAAAAAACTCTCCCAAATGACAAACTACAGGCTATTTATAGCACGATAAATACATGCCTTTGCACAGGTGTTTCACATTCTGCATAAGTGTTTGACAAACGTGCAGTGTTGTACTACACCAAAACCAAAACAAATATACAGAAGTGTTTCACATTCTGCATTGGTAATAGGGTTTAATTTGAATATCTTTTTCTTGAGTTGCTTTGCACAAGCCTCACAGTGCATGTTAACTTTGAGTTCTGTAGTTACCACTCTATTAACCTGAAGCAAAAATAAACCAGCTTTATAAGTCCATTGTTTTAACAAATGTAATTTTCTTTTCCGGTGCTTTCCATTTCAGACTATGCGACTTTATGAAATTTTTATTTAATGTTCAGTTTGATCACCTTATGTTATTCGTTTGGTTTCGGCTTTCTTTCCTTTTTTTTCTCTCTTCTCTTTGTGATCCCCTGATTATCCAGATGTTGGATGGGTTCTTTTTTTTTTTTTTTTTAATTATGTCTGTGATTCTGTTTTTTTTAACAGGTTTTAAAACATTCTGGTCATTCCAATTACAGTTTTAAGATATCCTCATTCATTTAACACATGAAAATTAAGCATTTTCATACCTAAGGTTTTAAATTATCATCATTTTGTTCAAACGCACCATTTCCTTTTTTGTTTCCCTTCTCTCATCTTGCAAGCACTCATGGTGTCCATTTCCTTTTAATTTTGGTTAATTCGGGTTTTGAAATTTGTGATGATCATTTTCATATTTCTATTAATTTTGACAGAAAAAACCATTTGAAAAAACATATTTGTCTCTAAGTATAAATCACATTAGTCTAATTATGGCTATGATAAAAAACCATGTGATCAACTGTGGCTTGCTTATACTGCAATTTCAATTTGGGAATTGAATGTATTTACAAAATTATGATCCTTTTTTAAATTTAGAAAAGAGCATGTTAAAAGACCAATTTTCTTTACAAGAACTTGAATAAAAAGTAGACCATGAGTGAAAACCAACCAACAACGATTATGGTGATTCAGTAATTTAAACATAAACCAGCTTTGACAGTGATACTCACCTATTGTTGATTTTCCTTTCGAGCATATTTCCTACACAAAGTTTCCCAAACTGTGTTCTCAAACAGCTGCATCGGCATATATTTCCAACTTTTAATAGTCTTTGGTCTCCATACTTTCCAGAATTCATTTTCGATCTTAATAATAGCTGCTATATTACTTGAAATTGTCAATGATTTCAGTTCTTCTTTTTCTTTTCTTTTTGAAAAGCATGGGTGTGAAGTTTGATAACCCAGTTTAACAAACAGATATATTGAACTTTTCAAACAGACTTTACATTTATCCCATAGATTTTCTCCTTTTCTTTTTCTGATTGTTGTTGCCATGTTGAGAAAAAAATTATATCAATGGTTGTTCATTTACCTCTGTAGTATTCTATTGTTATTCTGATTTCTGCTGGTTCTTTAAATAGTGTGGTTTTTCACTCAGTTAACACTTTTTAAAAATTGAAACAATAGTATAGTTCTAAGAGTAATCATTTGATTAGTCTTCCTTTTACCATAATTTCTGGAGACCAAGGATTTAACCATGTACAAGGCCCATCTATATGGTTTAATTCTATTTGCACCTGGTAGGCTTTCATTTCAGTATAGCCTTTCATTTCATTTCAGATAGGTGAAGCAGCACACATTTGCTTTTATAAATTTATTTTGCTATATTTTCAAAATGTGTGTGTTTTTTTTTTTGGGGGGGGGGGGGGGGGGAGGGTTTCCCATCTCAAATGTGTGTCTCTATGTACATGTATTAATGGTTGCAACATGTTACATCGGTGTATTAAGCTTTGGTGTATTCTTAACTGATGTATCCAATTTTGTTTTCACTAATTATTATAAACATTAGGGAAATTCAGCCATATATCAAATTTTAACTTGCAACCATTTTTGTTGGTTTTTGTAAAGATTCTAATGCTTAATTGCTTTTAAATTTGTCTCTGTTAGATTATTGTTTTTCAATTTTAATTTCACTCTTTTCCAACTTAGGGTGTTTCATTGAATAAATGATACAGATTTTTCTTGAAGTCATTTCATTGTTTGTTTTCCTTGGGAGGATTGTTGTGCTTCGGTTAGTACCATTCAGGTATGTCCATTTGTCAATCGGCACTGCTCATTTTTGTGAATGTATGGCAAGGCATTGGTCATGCAATCTGTCTAGGCAAAATAGAGATCGTCTTTTAAAGTTAAACATGCTCCACTTTCTGCAAAAAAAAAATAAAAAAAAATATTGGCAAAATGGTTAACCATCTGTTAGCAAAAACTAATTAGTGACATCTTGATCAACGTGCACAGATTGCTATCTGGCCACTGAGCATTATTTTTGGGGTATAGGGTGCATTTTCTATGGTATGGGGTGAGAAACGGTTTCAAAATTAGGTCTGTTTGGATTTCAACGATTACGTTTAGGATTTTGTTTGTAAGATTTGTAGAGAGATGGGGGTGTTTTAGTTTTTATGTTTAATGTTCTGAGACTTACCCTTTATTTGGTGCACTTCACAGATTGAGTCCTTTATACCATAACAATTTAAGTTACTTTTATTGTATCTGTTTGTTTGCACTTCGAATTCTTAATCGCAATCTCATTACTTTTTTGCAGTTTAGATCAGGCCCACATCGTTGAATCATAATCTGCTCTTGCTGCTGCCTTTGATGAAGGGGTTCTGAGCCATTACATTTCAATCAAGCCTTTGGTATGTCCTGAACTTGAATACGTTACTTCCCTATGCTTTCCATTTCAAACAATGCGATTTTGTAATTTTAAAAATCACTGTTTGGGTTTTTTTTCAGCTTATATTATATGTTTGTTCTGTGCTTTGTTTCTCATTCATGATTATCTTTGTGACCTCTGATTGTCCAGAGGTCTGATAGTTCTTTCTTTTTTATGGTTTAAATTTTGTCTATGCAATTCTGTTGTTGTTTGAAGGTCTCTTCATGTTGTGATTCTTATTTAACCCAGTGTTCTTAATTGTTTATCAAATGTTATTAGGCGTTTTATATGTTTTTTGTTGGTTGCTTCCTTTCCTTATTGTGTTCTAACTTTTCCAAATCATTCTTTGAAGGTTGGTTACTTTGGTTGGTTGATGTTTTCGTTAGGTTTTTCTAGTAGTCAACTGTCTCATCAGCCCCGAAGTGCTTTAATAAGTGTTGTTAAGAACTGCAATCTCTCAACAAACCAGACATATTTCCAAAAAAAAATCACAACTTCCATATTTAAATTTTTGAAAATTTTAACTTTGTTATTGTAAGACCTACAAGCTAAACAGATTTTTCTAAAAAATATAAATATTAACGCTATATTTAATTTGTGATTCAAGGTAGATGAAATGGTGAAAAAGATTGATCAAAGCGAACAACAAATTCTAGGAGTTTTGGTTAAAAATTTAAAGAAACTGATTGAGGCTCGAAACAATGAAAAGAATCGAGGAACGAAAAAGTTATATAGAGAAACTGCATGTTTGTTCGTTCATGATATGTAAAATCAAATTACCTATGGAATTATAAATAGATATTTCCCCTCTTGGGTGTCTGAGACTGCATGTTTCTCTATTTGAGGGAGAGAGGTGTTGGGTGTCTGAGACTGCAAAATCAAATTACCTATGGAATTGATAACATGCAATCAGTTTTTTTTATGGAATTTATAAAGCTCTTTTTTATGGTTACGTTGAAAATCATATTGATATATTCTTTATTTAGTTGGTCCAATCTACGAGATTGTTTTGTTTGATGTTTCAATCAAAATTTGATCTATTTTTGTGTGTGAAATTATAATGGAATTGCAAGTCAAGTATATCTTAGATTCTTGGTTGCATACTCACCTTCCCACAACTATTTTATTGTCTCTTGACTGGATGGATTTTTATAATTTCTTGGAGTTACAATGCTTTTTATAATTTCCTAGATCTATCATGTTTGTTCGTTCATGATTATATTGAATGTTTTTTAGGTTAAACGTGTCTTATTCATATAGTTAAGGCTGGTGCATTCAAGTCCCGCAGCATCGCGTGGGCATATTACTAGTTATCTCTATTCAGCTTATCTGCAAATGAAAGAACTTTTCTTTTAAAAGCGTTTGCATCTAGTCCATGTTTATCAGTTCCCTGTTGTGTTGGGGTTTCATAAACGTGCTTTCAAAAAAATAATTAAGCAAATTTAAAGTTATCATTTTAGCTGTAGGCTTGTAGCATGATGCAATAAATTAGATCATAAAACTATTTCTTAAAAAATGACGAAGAACAATTACATGGCTTAAACTTCTGTACAAGATGGCATTGTATAACACAGATAAAGAAATATCCAAGTGATAATCTTTCCTTTCTTAAGATGTGTATTTTGTACTTTGGTGCTCCGGGGAAGGGTAGTTAGCATCTGGAGTTGTTTCAAAGTCCGAAGAGCTATTCTGCGTCTGCTTCAAGCATGGTTGCATTATACAACAATACATGATTATAAATTTATTTGATCTCTATCTTTTCTATTATATCTTTAATCGTATGTATGATTTTTGTTTCCGTCATATGGTTTCTCTTGTGCTCTTTGAAAAAAATTTGATGAATGCAGAGTAGCAGCAAGTGCTTAGCTGATTTATGCGGAGCTTTGCATTGCGATGCTGTGATGAATACCAAGTCGAGCAAAACCAAATGCAATCCTGCATCTGTTGCATGGAATCACCACCTATGTGAGGTTGCGTCAAGGCACTTTATTTGTTTGTATTGTTGATTCTTATACATACCTTGTTTAATCTTTTTTACTTTTTTCCCCTTTTATAATGCAGGGTCTTGCCAATAGATGTTTCCCGATTAATCAAAGTCCTTCAGCACGCCGTCTTAATGGTATTTTTTTTGTTGTCAACCGAAGCTCTACCACTACTGCTTTTATTGTACTTGTGCTTATACTTGGGTTTATTATAGAGTTTTTCTTGCACCAATTTTGTCACGCTCATACTTGCTCGGGGAAACGGAAACTTTTTCCCAGAGGAGGAGAGGTAAGGTCTCAGTCTGTTACTGCAGTTGGTTTCGCTATAAAGAATGAATTGTGCCGCAGTTTCAATCCTGGCTTATGTTCCATTGCAGTTTGCCATGATTGTCTGTTGTTTTCTATTTCCGTATTTTTCTTTCTTTTGAGGATTTTTGCGTCACGGAGAATATGTTGTCACGTTGTTTTGTTTTTGCAGAAACATATAAGTGTATTCTACCTGGCTATCTCCATACTGACTTTGATGCTGCTCCCTATTTTCTATCTGATGGTGTATTTGCACCAAAGGTATCACTTTTTCGGACACTTAGATTTCACATTTGGATTTGTTGCAAGATTTTCCTAATTTCTTTGCAATTTGCTGAGAGATGAGGAAAGGAACCCAAGAGCTTAGGCGCATCTCAAAAGTTGGGCAGAAAACAAAACCCTCGTAGTCGCTTGTAAATCACAAAATGCGACTCGGATTTCAAACTCTATATGTTTCCTATGTTTCAATTCAGGGACTTGGTGTCGATGAAATGAACATCAAGGATTTTTCAGGCACAAACTTGCCGTTCAACATATTTCCTTGTAGATCGGCATGCTATACGTCACGTGGAGGAGTATGTTGCTCCTGACGTGACGTATCATTCCCTTAATAGCCGCTGGTGGATGACGAAAGTAGAACTAGGTGCTAACAATCTATTCTTCCGTACACCTGTAATTCATCGTCTATAGTTTGTTGTAGTTCATCGTCTAAACTTGTAATTCGGCCTCATGTTGGTACGTTTTGTGGAACATTGATTTTCTTAATTTATATAAGACAACAAGTACTTTGATTCTGGTTGGATGACCAAACAAAAAACTGAAGGAAATGCCTTTGCGAACGATATTTGATTACAAATCTTACAAGCCTTCCTTTTACTACTCATGTTTCAATCGACCTCAACATATTCTTCTCCGCGATGCCTCTCCAATGCCGGGAACTTGAACCTGTTAGTTTCTTGATATGCTCAGCTGGTCGCTTATCACTTGAATGACGCATGTCCCGGCCATGGTTCTCTGCTGCACCATTTTCTCGATGACTATGGCAACGATAGGCGCAAGGGTTGAATCTCTCTTCTGATGCTATGCTATACAGAAAATTCGAAGCCTTCAGCTTTGGACGATGCCATGACACTACTTGAATGCTTGTGTTCAAGTATACTCTACCACCAGATGCTGCAGGTACATGGAATTGCTCTTCGCTTATGGAGCTACAACCGCAAATGCAAGTGCTATCAATTCGTTCGACAAAAGGAAACCATCTGGATCACTAAACCGAATGTAGGCAGGACTTCTTTCAGTTTCGTCCTCGTTTACTAGCAAGGTGTTGAATTCACCTGCAGCGATGTCCCTTCTCTCCTCGTCCTGTGTACTCTTTCATCTTCTTTGGTCTCGAAAACCTAACGCCATCGGCATAGCCAGCGGAGCCAAGGCCAAAAGCATAGAAAGGCTTGTTCTTCCAATAAGTTGGATTGTGTTTGCAGTGATATCCACTCTTGCAGTAACTGCTAATTTCTAGAGGTTGTAACCTGCATCCGAAAGTGTCCGAGATGCCATCTTATAAAACTCAGCAGACCGCGTTTCTGAAGGCAACGGAAACTCCAACTTCAGGACCAAATTCATTCCAAAACTAAAACCGTAGATTTCATCACTCACTCCACTTACGACAACCCGAATTTCGTGCCTTGTTCGACTTGCAAATCATAAACTGACACATGGGTAAGACAAGCTTCTACCGTAAACCTCAAGCTCTCCTCCCACATTTCCGGGGTCTGGTAAGACAAGGTGGCTCGAGCAATCTCACAATATCACTATTTCCTGCACTTTCTGTTGCTCCTTCACTAAACACTTCGCAAACCCTCTCATCGGGAAGTGGAGGGATAGGAGATGATGAGGCAAAATACGGGACCTCTTCATGGAAGGTGACATCCATGGAGACATAAGTCTTTTGAGTAGGAGAATGATAACACTAGTAACCTTTTTGAGTATTTGAATACCCAATGAACACACATCGAAGAGCACAAGGATCTAGCTTACTCCGTTGATGAGAATAAATATGCACATACACAACACATCCAAACACCTTGGGAGGAAGCTTGGAGATACCGATAGGTGAGATATGTTCTTGTAAAACTGCAAAAGGTGTGCGGAAATCATGAACTCGACTAGGAGTCCGATTGATCAAATAACATGCGGCTAAAACTGCATGTCCCCAAAGATAATTAAGGACCGACATTCCCAAGAGCAAAGCACGAGCAACTTCAAGTAAATGACGATTCTTCCGCTCAGACACCATTTTGTTGGGGTGTAAACGGAGTAGTCGACTGATGAATAATACCTTGTTCACGAAAGAAACAACTCAAGGCAGTGTTCACATATTCTCCTCCGTTATCAGACCGAAGCACTTTGACTTTAGTCTAGAACTGAGTAGATACCATGGCAGTAAATTCTTGTACAATAAATGTCACATCATTTTTATTCTTCATCAAGAAAACCCAAGTTAAACAGGTGCAATCATCAATAAAAGTGATAAACCAACGAAATCCATTTGAAGTAATCTTAGCAGGACCCCATACATCGGAATGTACCAACGCAAATGGCTGAAGAGCTTTATTATTACTTAACGGAAAAACAGTACAATGGCTTTTGGCCAATACACATGTTTCACACTTAAAACAAGTCTCATCATATGAACGACATAGTGAAGGAAATAAAGGTTTAAGATATCCAAAAGAAGGGTGTCCCAAGCGACGATGCCATAACCACAACTCATGCTTGTCCTTGTCACTGCCACTCTGAACTTTATTAGCAAGACTACCATGAACCACGTCTGTTGGTAGAGTCAAGTAGTATAACCCCCTATCCTTTTACCACGTCCAATCGTCTCGTGGGTTTTGAGATCTTTAAACATACACCATGTAGGATAGAAAGTAGCATAGGCATTTAGTGAGTCCAGTAATCGTCCCACAGATAATAAATTACAATTAATATTGGGTACCAAAAACGCATGTGCCAGGGACAAGGTAGGGGTAAGTGTGATTGTGCCTTCTCCAGTAATTGGAGACGGCATACCATTGGCAAACGTGATAGAAGGGTCACAAGTTTGGCTAGACAACTCATCAAAAATCTTAAAATTATAAGTCACATGATCAGTAGCACCAGTGTCAATTATCCATGTATTGGAACTGTTACCTGGTACGGAATTTATCACACTCAAATTCATGGAAGGACGAGGCGACTCAAGCTCGTCTGCAGTCACGACATGAGCAGCTTTGGGTCCAAACTTATGGGCCTTGTACTCAGGAAACCAATCTAGAACACCATGAAGCTGGAAACATTTTTCTAAAAGATGATCACCTCTACAATGGGCACATTCACGAGAACCAGGTTGAGCCTTTGCTGCAGGAGGGCGGGAGACGGCAGACTTGGAGTTCGAAGAGCCTCCGGAACGTGCACTCACAAGGGACGACTGACGACCACCACCGCCAGTTGAGGAAGCACCATTTGTCTGATGCTGGCTTGTACCAATCTTCAAAGCAGCAGCACCCCAAGCATAGTGACTTGACGTGTGCTTTCTTCCACGACCAATGCATACGCCTCCAAGACAGAATGCACCGGAGTCATAGCCAAGATACGGCTACGAACACCATTAAACTGTGGATCTAGCCCTCCAAGAAAATCATACACCCTCTCAGATTCAATTTCCTTATGTCGAAGAGCCACATCCTTAGGATTGGTATGTGGGTTAGCACGAAGATTGTCAATCTCCTCCCAGATAACATGAAGCTCCTCATAAAACATAGCAACAGATTCACCATTTTGGGTTGTAGTCACGGACTGTCTTCGAAGTTGAAACAACCAGGAGCTGTTTTGGGTGACTGTAAAAGTCTTCCTTGCAGCCTCCCACACATCATATGCTGAAGTACAACGCTCAAAGAGACTTCTCACACTCCGAGTCATAGAGTTGAGAAGCCATATTTGTACCAAACAATTATCCTCTTCCCATTCGGAGTATTCCACAGAATCACCATCCTTAGGAGCAAGTTTTTTGCCATTGATAAACCCCGCCATACGTGGTCCAGTTATCGTAAGAAAGGCGTTACGAGACCAGGAGACATAGTTGGAGCCATCTAATTTCTCTTGTGCAATAGGAGCAGAATAATCACGGTAGGGTCGTTCATCCTTGGTACCAGATGAACCGAAGTTGGGTTTAACAACATCATCACCAGCCATGGTTGTAGAACACACACACCAAATAACAGCGGAAACAATCAACACAACAAGACACGAACGCAGAAAATTTTCACAGAAAAATTTCCACAGCAACGGCAAGATTTAGAGTTTCTCAAATTAGGGTTTTGCACGGGTAGGAGGTTTTTTTTGGTTTTGGTGGGCACGCACGGTCACCAGAACTTTACTTCTCTGATGCCAAGTCAAACAGTATATGGGTAAAATTATGATATATTATTCTCTTTGAGAATAGAGTATAAATAGGGTTTACAAAGAGTGTTATACAAGTAAGTAGACTATACAGGGAAACAAATAAAAACCTAATAAGGCTAATCAAATATAATCCCTATAATCTATACAAATCGCTACACATTTCGTGTGACGAAGCACTCTCTCACATAAAAAGAACGAATACCCAACGAGTATCTTCATATGAAAGAAATGTTTCCCATCCTTCATTTGCCATATAATCCCCACAAACAAGCTCCACTTGGTCTGGCCTAATTTTGTGATGTATGTCCTAGAACCAGCAAAAATGTTCTATAAAGATTTTTTTAGGGATTTGAGGGGTCATGTTTGTGGCCTCAGTTGCATAAAACACGTTCAAACAAGAATGACTACCCACATACCTGAATTCCAGCCTCTCGTGCACGAACATCACGGTACTTCAAGCCCAAGTCTTCCATCCGAGCCAAAGCTAACTCCCGAAGATTTCCTTTCACAACCCCAGAAGTAACTAAAGGCATTGGAATGTCTAACTGAACTCTATAAACACGCGTCCAAGGGGGGACCACGGCTACGATCCGAGCTACAATGTCCACAAGTTGCTCAGGTGGGTAATTTCTATACCTGCCCGTTTTCCAAAGCTGATAGAGTCCAGTTGCACGGATCACGAGTGTTGGATAAATTTTAAGCCCATATGCTCTGAACGAGGGGCTTTCAAAGAACTCCTGAAAACTCTCCATGTCTCTCTCCACCCCTACATTTGGAAGATCAGGCATCATGCATGCAACCACCTAGAGCAACAACAACAACAACAACAACAACAAAGCCTTTTTCCACTAAGTGGGGTCGGCTATATGAATCCTAGAACGCCATTGCGCTCGGTTTTGTGTCATGTCCTCCGTTAGATCCAAGTACTCTAAGTCTTTTCTTAGAGTCTCTTCCAAAGTTTTCTTAGGTCTTCCTCTACCCCTTCGGCCCTGAACCTCTGTCCAGTAGTGACATCTTCGAACCGGAGCATCAGTATGCCTTCTTTGCACATGTCCAAATCACCGGAACCGATTTTCTCTCATCTTTCCTTCAATTTCGGCTACTCCTACTTTACCTCGGATATCCTCATTCCCAATCTTATCCTTTCTCGTGTGCCCACACATCCCACGAAGCATCCTCATCTCCGCCACACCCATTTTTTGTACGTGTTGATGCTTCACCGCCCAACATTCTGTGCCATACAACATCGCTGGCCTTATTGTCGTCCTATAAAATTTTCCCTTGAGCTTCAGTGACCTATGACGGTCACACAACACGCCGGATGCACTCTTACACTTCATCCATCCAGCTTGTATTCTATGGTTGAGATCTCCATCTAATTCTCTGTTCTCTTGCACGATAAATTTTAGGTAGCAAAAACGGTCGCTTTTTGTGATCTTCGCTAAATTGCTCCGGTCATTAGTATGGATAAGTATATAAATGGATAGAGATAGGAAAGCGAACACAAGATGTACGTGGTTCACCCAGATTGGCTACGTCCACGGAATAGAGGAGTTCTCATTAATTGTGAAGGGTTTACACAAGTACATAGGTTCAAGCTCTCCTTTAGTGAGTACAAGTGAATGATTTAGTACAAATGACATTAGGAAATATTGTGGGAGAATGATCTCGTAATCACGAAACTTCTAAGTATCGGAGTGTGGTATCGTCTTGACGTGCCTTATCTGTCTCATAAGTAGATAGGGCATCTTCTCTGGAAGTACTCTTCCTCCATCCAGGGGTGGTATCTTTAACTGGTGGAGATGCACAAGGTAATGTATCAATTTCACTTGAAGCTTACTTGTAGTTTCAGGCTTGGTCAAGCACGATACAAACCATGTAGTAGGAGTCCCCCAAGTCGCCGAGCTAGGGGATCTGTTGAAAGAGGTGACAGACAAGGTAAGCAATCATAGCTCCGGCTGATTGTTCACAGTCTCCCTATCTTGCAGGCAGCATGAAGGATAAAGAGAAGAAAATGAGAAGAGATGATATGGGATACTTTTGCTTTTGAAGAAGTAACTTTCCACAGGCTTATTCTTGAACTGAGCTGAAGGGTTTTCTGGTTTCCTCTAGAGTATAAGGCCGACTGAAGAATTTGAGGGTCAAAACAAGTCCATCAAATCTAGAGTACGTTCGACCCTGCTGATATGGGATACTTTTGCTTTGACAGAGTAATGGATGTATCGGCACGTGTGCTGTTACGCTTGTCTCCACATGCTTCCTTGTATCCTTCTCCCTTGCCCTATCTGTTCCTCAGGCAGATGCGGTATCTTCCCTGGAAGCATAAGATGTTGAAGATGAGTACTCGAGAGCAATGTCAGGTAAGTAATCAGGTAAGGGGTTCCAGGCAGTCAGTTCCTGGATGGAAGCTTGATTCCAAGTACTGACTGATTGCTCTCTTTCTCCTTATCTTGCAGGTAAGAACAAGGTCAAAGGAAAAGACAGGGAAAAAGCAGGATATGGGATACTCTTGCTTTTAACCTTGATGATATGAGATATTCTGCTCTAGTATAGCTTGTTTGTAGAGGTATTATCGGGGGGAAAGAAAGCTGAATATTTCGAAAGGCTTCGTTGGGAGTGCCCTCTCAGATATGAGGAAGGGTTGAGCATTTTTGCAGGTCTGCCTGTCCGTTGGGGATGGGGGTCGACATATATAGGAGTCTCCTTAACAAGTAGTAATGCTATTCCTTTACCCTACTTGGTCATAGCACAGTAGTGGGAGCTGCCAGCTTCACATGTTTTAACGTTGTCAGAGCACTTTGAAAAAGTGGTTTGTGGTATCTGGAAAGCTGATGTTGCGTGTGAAGATTACAGACAGCTTTATCCAAGGAGATCCGGCTCTTGAAGTTGGGAAAGTGTTGCCTCTTCGATTTTCGAACAAGCAATCCTATCGGGGATCTGGCTCTCGAGATTCGGAGAACGATGCCTCTTCGATTTTTGAGAAAGCAATCATGCTGGGGGTGTGGCTCTCGAGATTCGGAGAGCGGTGGCTCTTCGATTTTTTGGAAAGTAATCATGTTGAGAGTCTGGCTCTCGAGATTCGAAGGGCGGTGCCTCTTCGATTTTGGAGCAAGCAATCTTGTTGGGAGTGTTTTCTCGAATGTGAGTGAAGGTTGGGCATGTTTGCTAGTCTACCTTGCCACGAAGCACAGAGGTTGACACACAGGGACTTTCCAATTATCCAGCAATGGTACTGTTCCTTTACCCTCTTCGATTTTTGAGAAAGTAGGCATGTTGGGAGTCTGGCTCTCGAGATTCGGAGGACGGTGCCTCTTCGATTTTGGAGCAAGCAATCTTGTTGGGAGTGTTTTCTCGAATGTGATTAAAGGTTGGGCATGTTTGCTAATCTACCTTGCCACGAAGCACAGAGGTTGACACACAGGGACTTTCCAATTATCCAGTGGTGGTACTGTTCCTTTACCCTTGTGGGTAATAATATGGTAGCTAGACCTTCAAAATTTATGTGTCTAAACTTTGTTAGTGTTGTTTCTTTGCTATTCTTTTACCCTTCTTGGTCAGAGCGATGTAGTGGGAGCTGCAAGCTTCACGTGTTCAACTTTGGCAGAGAACTTTGGCAAAGTTATCTGTGGTACCCATGAGCTACTGTTGCGTGTGGGAAGTGGGTGATTGAACAGTAAGACTCATGTGCTTTCTACTTCACCAGAAGTCTTCGACCGAATGCCCATAATTTCCGCAAAGCTGAGTGTGCGTGTGACAGGTGCTGACAAGGCTGGAAAAGTAGGTGCCTCTTCGATTTCTGAGATCGGCCCTCGTGGTCTCTGAGCAGCCCAGCTTTTGAGAAAGCAAGCGCCTCTTCGATTTCTGAGATCGGCCTTCGTGGTCTTTGCGCAGCCCAGCTTTTGAGAAAGCAAACACCTCTTCGATTTCTGAGATCGACCCTCGTGGTATCTGAGCAGCCTTGCTTTTGAGAAAGCAAACGCCTCTTCGATTTCTGAGCAGGCGCCTCTTCGATTTCTGAAGCTCCGTCGAGTGCAGATTTTTATAGAGGCTGGCATTAAGTTCCAAAGCACCCTTGAATCTCCACCAGTAGAAGCTCCATTCTTGCACTTCTAAGATCTTGATTTGTCCGACCTCTTCTCTCTTCAACACCTTTGAAAATGTCTGGCCCCTCCGACCGTCGTTTTGACTTGAACCTTGTTGAAGAGGCAGCCCCGCCTTCTCCTGACAACATATGGCGTACATCCTTCGTCTCCCCTACTGGTCCTCTTACCGTTGGGGATTCCGTGATGAAGAATGATATGACCGCTGCGGTAGTGGCCAGGAACCTTCTCACTCCCAAAGATAACAGACTACTTTCCAAACGGTCTGATGAGTTAGCTGTTAAGGATTCTCTGGCTCTCAATGTTCAGTGTGCAGGTTCTGTGTCTAATATGGTCCAACGCCTATTTGCTCGAACCCGCCAAGTTGAATCATTGGCGACTGAAGTGATGAGTCTCAAACAGGAGATTAGAGGGCTCAAGCATGAGAATAAACAGTTGCACCGGCTCGCACATGACTATGCTACAAACATGAAGAGGAAGCTTGACCAGATGAAGGAATCTGATGGTCAGGTTTTACTTGATCATCAGAGATTTGTGGGTTTATTCCAAAGGCATTTATTACCTTCGTCTTCTGGGGCTGTACCGCGTAATGAAGCTCCAAATGATCAACCTCTGATGCCTCCTCCTTCTAGGGTTCTGTCCAGTACTGAGGCTCCGAATGATCCCCCTCTGGTGCCTTCTCTTTCTGGGGCTCTACCGACTGCTGAGACTTCTCCTAAGCAACCTTTGTGAAGGCTCCCTCTTGTTTGTTTATTTTGACTTATGTATATGTACATATTTGTAGCTTATCGGGGATATCAATAAATAAGCTCTCCTTCATTTCAACGTATTGTGTTAAATACACCAAAGCCTTCTTCGCTAAGTTCTTTGAATTTTCTTTTGTTGAAGCTTTGTGAGTGGAGCATATAGGTTGAGGTAGTGTTCCCTTAATTTCCTGAGTGAGGAAAACTTCTCGGTTGGAGACTTGGAAAATCCAAGTCACTGAGTGGGATCGGCTATATGAATCTTAGAACGCCATTGTGCTCGATCCTGTGTCATGTCCTTCGTTAGATCCAAGTACTCTAAGTCTTTTCTTAGAGTCTTTTCCAAAGTTTTCCTAGGTCTTCCTCTACCCCTTCGGCCCTGAACCTCTGTCCCATAGTCGCATCTTCTAATCGGAGCGTCAGTATGCCTTCTTTACACATGTCCAAACCACCGTAACCGATTTTCTCTCATCTTTCCTTCAATTTCGGATACTCCTAATTTACCCCAGATATCCTCATTCATAATCTTATCCTTTCTCGTGTGCCTACACATCCAACGAAGCATCCTCATCTCTGCTACACCCATTTTGTGTACGTGTTGACGCTTCACCGCCCAACATTCTGTGTCATACAGCATCGCCGACCTTATTGCCGTCCTATAAAATTTTCCCTTGAGCTTCAGTGGCATACGGCGGTCACACAACACGCCAGATGCACTCTTCCGCTTCATCCATCCAGCTTGTATTCTATGGTTGAGATCTCCATCTAATTCTCCGCTCTTTTGCAAGATAGATCCTAGGTAACGAAAACGGTCGCTCTTTGGTATTTCTTGATCTCCGATCCTCACCCCTAACTCGTTTTGGCCTCCATTTGCACTGAACTTGCACTCCATATATTCTGTCTTTGATCGGCTTAGGCGAAGACCTTTAGATTCCAACTCTTCTCTCCAAAGGTTAAGCTTTGCATTTACCCCTTCCTGAGTTTCATCTATCAACACTATATCGTCTGCGAAAAGCATACACCAAGGAATATCATCTTGAATATGTCCTGTTAACTCATCCATTACCAACGCAAAAAGGTAAGGACTTAAGGATGAGCCTTGATGTAATCCTACAGTTATGGGAAAGCTTTCAGTTTGTCCTTCATGAGTTCTTACGGCAGTCTTTGCTCCTTCATACATATCCTTTATAGCTTGGATATATGCTACTCGTACTCCTTTCTTCTCTAAAATCCTCCAAAGAATGTCTCTTGGGACCCTATCATACGCTTTCTCCAAATCTATAAAGACCATGTGTAAATCCTTTTTCCCATCTCTATATCTTTCCATCAATCTTCGTAAGAGATAGATTGCCTCCATGGTTGAGCGCCCTGGCATGAACCCGAATTGGTTGTCCGAAACCCGTGTCTCTTGCCTCAATCTATGCTCAATGACTATCTCCCAGAGCTTCATTGTATGACTCATTAGCTTAATACCTCTATAGTTCATGCAATTTTGTACGTCGCCCTTATTCTTGTAGATAGGCACCAAAGTGCTCGTTCGCCACTCATTTGGCATCTTCTTCGTTTTCAAAATCCTATTGAAAAGGTCAGTGAGCCATGTTATACCTGTCTCTCCCAAAACTTTCCACACTTCGATTGGTATATCGTCTGGGCCTATTGCTTTTCTATGCTTCATCTTCTTCAAAGCTACAACCACTTCTTCCTTCCAGATTCGACGATAAAAAGAGTAGTTTCTACACTCTTCTGAGTTACTCAACTCCCCTAAAGAAGCACTCCTTTCATGTCCTTCATTGAAAAGATTATGAAAATAACCTCTCCATCTGTCTTTAACCGCGTTCTCTGTAGCAAGAACCTTTCCATCCTCATCCTTGATGCACCTCACTTGGTTTAGGTCCCTTGTCTTCTTTTCCCTTGCTCTAGCTAGTTTATAGATATCCAACTCTCCTTATTTGGTATCTAGTCGTTTATACATATCGTCGTAAGCCGCTAACTTAGCTTATCTCACAGCTTTCTTCGCCTCTTGCTTCGCTTTTCTATACCTTTCACCATTTTCATCAGTCCTATCCTTGTATAAGGCTTTACAACATTCCTTCTTAGCCTTCACCTTTGTTTGTACCTCCTCATTCCACCACCAAGATTCCTTTTGGTGTGGGGCAAAGCCCTTGGACTCTCCTAATACCTCTTTTGCTACTTTTCGGATACAACTAGCCATGGAATCCCACATTTGGCTAGCTTCCCCATCTCTATCCCACACACACTGGGTGATTACTTTCTCTTTGAAAATGACTTGTTTTTCTTCTTTTAGATTCCACCATCTAGTCCTTGGGCACTTCCAAGTCTTGTTCTTTTGTCTCACTCTTTTGATATGTACATCCATCACCAACAAGCGATGTTGATTAGCCACGCTCTCTCCTGGTATAACTTTGCAATCCTTACAAGTTATACGATCCCCTTTCCTTATTAGAAGAAAATCTATTTGTGTTTTTTACGACCCACTCTTGTAGGTGATCACATGTTCTTCTCTCTTCTTAAAGAAGGTGTTGGCTAAGAAGAGATCATATGCCATTGCAAAATCCAAGATAGCTTCCCCATCCTCGTTTCTCTCCCCAAAACCATGGCCACCATGAAAACCTCCATAGTTGCCTGTCTCCCTGCTCACGTGTCCATTTAAATCTCCTCCTATAAATAACTTCTCCGTCTGAGCAATTCCTTGCACCAAGTCTCCAAGGTCTTCCCAAAATTTCTCCTTCGAACTCGTATCCAACCCTACTTGAGGTGCGTACGCACTAATCACATTGATAAGTTCTTGTCCTATTACAATCTTGATTGCCATGATTCTATCTCCTACCCTCTTGACATCTACAACATCTTGTGTCAAGGTCTTGTCCACGATGATGCCAACACCATTTCTCGTTCTATTTGTGCCCGAATACCAAAGTTAAACCCTGAGTTTTCTAGATCATTTGCCTTACTACCAACCTACTTAGTTTCTTGTAGGCACATAATATTTATCCTTCTCTTCACCATAACTTCCACTACTTCCATAGATTTTCCCGTTAAGGTTCCTATATTCCACGTTCCTAAACGCATTTTGCTCTCTTGAACTCTACCCTTCTGTCCTAGCTTCTTCACCCTCCCCCGTCTAATAGGATCAAAGTACTTCTTTTGTGTGTCCCGTGTAAAGTTGATAGGAGCATATGCTCCCAAACAACTTGGAGTGGAGTCGTTCGAAAAAAAGTTTCTATGGCCCCCTTGCTCATTTAACACTGCATCCGGGTGCCAATGGAGATACAGCGACCCTTGCTCACTTATCACTGTGCTCGGGCCACACAGCGCGCCACTTACGGGTGACGCCCTAGCTTTAGCGCAATTTTGTTCTGAATTCATTTTCATAAGGATTCGACGTGATCAAATGCATAAAATTATTAGTGTGAAACAAAAGTAACTCAGAATGAACGACAGGAATACACAGCAAAAATGCATATTGTAAACAGTCCTCAAGGCTTTTAATATTGCAGTTCATAAAGATTACGGTCATACAATTACAAACAAATGCTTCTTCTTGAACTTAGACAAAGTGAATGGTAATACCAAAACCAACTAGATTATGATAAAATATTCACGCTGAATTATGGGAGAGCACAATAATTTGAAAAATATATCCAGGCTCACAAATTGTTTTGATGAAAGATTAATCTCCTGTCACTGTACATATAAAAGGTCCAAAATCCTTTCTTTTCCCATGGTGAAGGTAAGTGAGTTTTATGATATAAAAGGTCCAAAATCTGTGAGGTACTAGGCTGACCTTAAAACCAGCATCCTTTGCCAAGCAAAAACAATCAGCCACTGCAGCTACGGTATGACCTCTATTGGCGTCCCGAGCCACATCCTCGTATGTACTCTGAACTCCAATTTCTAGTCTTGTACAACCATAAGAAAGCATTTGTCTCAAGTGAGGTCCAAGGCAATAATCTGGCCTCCGGCAGAATAAAAAGTTACAACTACCTTCGTTAACTTTCTGGACCAACCAGATGAACTGGAAACTAGAATGTAAGCTAAAAATTACTGTCAACCAAGTTAAACACAAGAATGAGAAATTAATGGCTTCTAAAATAAACTAAAAACTCACGTTTCAATGGTCATTCCAATACATTTAGTAGCACCATGCTCAGAGTAGGCAACTGCCTCTTCAACATTGGCAGAAGTGTGTCCCGATAACGCATCATGCAGATTTCTAATAAAGTAATCATGGTAATCCGCGGGCAACGACATGAAAGTACCGCCCATTAAGATGAACTCAACCTGAAAACATAAATTCAGTACCAGTTATGAGGCGACAACTATGCATATTACTCTATCATGGAAATCTGCAAACCCGAAAATAAATTCTTTAAGCTCTAAACATAGAACAGGCCAAACCTTGTCTACACTGTGATCCAATGTCTTCAGCTGATCTATCCTGCTTCTAGCCTGGACATATGGGTTGTATCTAAGCACACAAAACCAAAAGATTAACTACCAAATTAACTTCACTAATCCAATTTTAAACACCAATTCCTTCAAATAATCTCTTCATTACAAAGCTCTCAACTTCATGGTGAAAAATCAATCAAGCCAAAAACTTTAAGCTTTGAAACGAATGATGAATAAATAAAACTTGAATTCCCCATCAAGTGTTCGATAAAATGCGTCAATGAACTAGAGAAAGCCATACCTTTCCCAAATTGCGCGCATGCTAGTAGGCTCGTATCCAGTGTAAGACTGAGTGCTGTACTCAGAGTCCGAATCGGGACCACCGGGGCAGTACACGCAAATATTCCCGGTGATGGCGATGTGGGGGCACGTGAACGGCCGTACTTGCGGCACGCGGTGGTCTTGAGGCCGTTTAGGTCGACGTTTTGGCCCTTCCGGGAGAGGTCGACCATGGAGCTGACGATTTCGGCGATGGCTTGAACCCGGGCCTCTTTTTCGGATGGTCCATGGGCATTGAATCCGCCCCGACCCGGTCGGGGTTGCTTTCTGGCGGGCTCGGATATTGGCAGCATTGCAGTCGCCATGGAAGAGAAGAGGAAGGGGAGGAAAAGAGGTATTTTAAGTCTGTCAAAACGCCTCTTATTTTTAGTTCTTTTAATTAAAAAAATAATAATTCAAAAAGTGTTGTGAAATCGACGGTGTGTGCAGTGGAATAAATAAGCAAGACACAAAATTTACGAGGTTCCTCTATAGTCAGTGTGACTGGAGTACGTCCTCGGGGCAGCAGTGGTGCTTCCATTATAATTTAGAATAATAGGAGTACAAAGATAACTCTCTCTATTATCTCCTCTCATCTTCCTCTATTCTCTCTCTTCCTCTTCCTTCTCTCTCTTCCTCTTCCTTCCTTCCTCTCTTTCTTTCCCGTGAACTCTCCTCACTTCATTCCTCTTCTTCCTTTATATAAACAAAAGAAAGCACTATTCACTTTACAAATTTTCCACAAATGAATAGTGAAAATACTGTGCATAAATAGTAACAAACTATTCATGTGGGCCATCCACATATTATCACAACACCCCCCCTTGGATGGTCATAAGTCTTCGATTGATTCGTTAAAATCTTGATCTGTTTTTGGATGCTTCCCTTGATGAGTATCTCCCCCTGATTTCAAATCATTTAGGCTGATCACTGATCATTCTGCTTCAGTCTCTTAGCGGGGAGAGTTGCCGAAAAAGGTGTTTTACTTGTTGTTAACTTTCCACAGGCTTTTTCTTGAACTGGGTTGTAGGACTTTCTACTAGACTTGCATCCAAAGGTCTGAATTTACTCCTTTGATCTGGAGCAGATTTGATTCAAGTGTGGTGGACACTTGATCTTGAATCCGACTTTTGATTTCTTCAAGGACTTTCGAGGCTTGATCTTGAATGAAATTGGACCATGAGGAGCTTCACGTGACAAGTGATATTCGGCTTAGTTGGGGATGAATCAGCATATGTTCATTGCACTTGTCTCCACATGCTTCAATGCATCATTTTCACTTTCCTTACTTGCTCCCCTTGCTTAAGTAGTATTTTCACTGCTTTTCCCCCCATGCATATGTGGCATCTTCTCTTGTAGGATTTGTCCCCTGGTGCAGAAGTGGAATGCAAACCCTTGCATTTGGATGGTTCATCACTTCTTGGTGACCGGAGACCCAGTTCCAACAACAGTTGAAGATGACTACTCAAGAGCTAGGTAAGCAATCGGGAAAGGTTCCAAGCAGTTTGTTCCTTACCTGGAGTTTGAGTGGAGGTTCCGACATACTGCTTTCTTTATCCTTGTCTTTGCAGGTAAGAACAAGGACAAAAGAAAAGACAGGGAGATTGCATGATATGAGATAATCTTGCTCTGGTCCCTGAAGATATGTGATAATCTTGCTCTGGTGTGACATGTTTGAAGAGGTATTCTCGGAGAGGAAGAAAACTGAGTATTTCGAGATGCTATGTTGAAGATGCATTCTCGGAGATGAGGAAGAGTTGAGTATTCTTGCAGTGTTGCAGGTCTGCCTTGTTATGGAGAACAGAGGTCGACATATATAGAGATTTCTCAATAGCAAGTGGTGGTGCTGTGCTTTTACTCCTGTCAGCAACTGTGGTGTAAATAGAACAGTAAGATTTACGTGTTTTCAACTTTGTCAGAGATCTTTGACAAAATTGCACGCGACATCTGAAAAAGCTGGGATTACGTCTGAAAAATGCCAACGAACTTTATTCAGGAAAATCTGGCTTTTGAAATTCGAAGAGCGGTGCCTCTTCGATCTTTGAACGAGTGGCTCTGCTGCCTCTTCTTTTATAGAGACATCAATTATGTTCAAGAGTATGCTCAGAAAGTTGCTGCTTGTAGAAATTTCCTCTATCTTGCACCTTTGAAATTTTATTTGACCTCTATTTTTCCTTCATCATTTCTGAAAAATGACTTGCCCATCTAACATTTGCTTAGATTTGAGTCTTAGGAGTGATACAGACGAGCAGCATCAAGATAATATATGGCGCCCGTCCTTCTTATCTTCTAATGGTCCTCTTACGGTTGGGGACTCTGTGATGAATAACATAACCGCTACTGTGGTAGCTAGGAATCTTCTTACTCCAAGGGATAACAAGATCCTTTCAGAACGGTCTGAAGAGTCGGCCGTTCAAGACTTCTTGGCTCTCAGTGTTCAGTGTGCTGGCTCTATGTCCAATATGGGCCAACGCCTACTTGCTCAAACTCGCCAAGTTGAATCATTGATGGAGGAGGTGGCAAGTCTTAAACAAGAGATCAGAGGGCTCAAGCACGAGAATAGGGTGTTACACGTGCTTGCAAATAGTTACTCTATGAGCATGAAAAGAAAGCTCGTCCAACTGCAGGAATCCGAAAATCGGATTCAAAGTGATCACCAGAGGTTCGTTGCTAGATTCCGAAAGCAACTGATGCCTTCCCCTTCTGGTGTTTTGCTAAGTACTGGGGTGCCACATGATCAATCTCCAGTGCCTCCCCCTTCTGGGGTACTTCCGAGTACTGAGGCTTCACATGAGCAACCTTTATGAAGGCTCCATCCTGTTTGTTTGTTTTAACTCATGTGTATGTATATATCTGTAATTTCTTGGAGATATTAATAAATAAGCTTTATTTCATTCAATGTATTGTGCCAAATACAATAAAGCATATACTTCACTAAGATGTGGTACTTCTGGACCAAATATCAATTTATCTTTACATTCACGAAGATAAATGATCGTTCTTAGTGTCTAAATCATATGAGTATTCAACTCATAATCTTCAATCCATATGGTTCTTTTAATATCACAAATATCATGGATAAGATTCGTGTTGGTAGATTGTTCGATCTGCAGCTCGAGACAATAATTCCTTCAACACTTTATAATTTTTCTAGACTCTTCAGGAGTCCCAATTTAATATCATCAACTCTTCAAGAGTTATAATTTAATGTCATTGACTCTTGCAAGAGATTTTAGTATGTTGCAACAATATCATAATGATAGTACTCACTAAGGCAATTTATATCATCCATTGGTATTGAGTACATATTTTATGTTTTACCCTTCAGAGGCTTACTTCAAGCAATTTGAATCCTTCAAGGGTTTTCTACACTTCATGACACATTTTCCTTTGGAATTTATACAGAGCAATTTGCTCTCATGTATACTTGAGGGATTTACTTATGGAGATATAATGTGGGCGACTCACAACCCTTCGTATATAATTCTCCATTCATATGAACTCGTTTACAACCTTGTGTCATATCATGTGAGTGTATTTCACTGTATTACAAATGCCCAATGTAACCTCCTGGGTTCAACATCTTTTGGCTATTTGTATTGTATTCAAATATATATAGGTTCATTTGCCCACGTTCTTACAAAATTGTAATGAAATTGCCTTTCTCCATTTTGGCCAATAATTTTTCTTTTGTCGACAAACAAAAGAACGTGGCTCAATATTAACATAGCTCATTGATGAATTTAGTAGCTACTTGTAAAAACCAAAATTACCATTGGTTATCATCAATCCGTGATCCCATATTCTCATGTGCATGGGCATGCATAAAAGCTTTTCATTTCTTTGGATATCCATTGCCTCTTCAAGGGCATGACGCTATCTCTTCCAGGATAGTCATAATTTAGAGAATGTGGATCATAACCTCCTCTTGAGCGTTATAGAGCTTGGATTTTAATCTCCACTTCCGGGAGTTGAGTCATTGGAACCTATATGTCTATTATGCTCCATGTATGAGACATCAACATTCCCATGTCTGTGGATTGTCCTATCTGGGACGTGTATCCATGCAGTGACTGTTATGCTTCTGGCATGCAACAGTTATGCTTCGGGAATGCAATAGTTCAATAGTGTCATATTATTCTTCTTTCGAATAACTGAACCTTTTGAGTCTAAAAATCTGCCATGCTTCAGGCGTGCAACAGATAAATCATTTACTGTCTCATTATTTTATCCAACAGAGACATCAATTCTTGTAGGCACATTTGCAGTAAGTATATATGATTTCATCACTTTCGTTGCATCATTCAATTATTCATATTTCATTTTCTCATTGATTGCTTCGTGAATCAAAATAAGACAAATTCTCTTCGTTCTTCTGGAACGGTCTTTTCTCATCATTATTTTGGAATGATATTTTCTCATCGTTCTTCTGGAACGATGTTATTTTCTCCCCCTAATGGCAGGAAAATTGTCTTATCAAAATCATAGTCCGCAAATCATGCGGTAGACATATCCCCAGTTAAGGGTTCCAAATATTGAATGATAGATGGTGTTCAACATCAATGCCTAATCTACGATGATGCCTCATTTCAGTACGTTGTGGCAGTCTTACAGGCACATAGATAACACAACCAAAAACCCGTAAATGTATAATGTTTGGCTAGTTCCCAAACACGAGTTGTACTGAGCAATATTGATGGTTGGAAACTGGTCTCATCCGAACTTAAAAATGCGTCATGTAAAAGGACATGTCCCCATGTAGAAAACTGGTAATTTCGTTTTCATGAGCAGATCGCGGGTAATCAATTTCATCCGCTTAATAAATGCTTCTGCTAAACCATTTTAAGTATGGACATAAGGAACTTCTGGTCCTTATTAAATAGTCTATGGACTGAGACTTTTATGACCTTTATTATAATTAAGTTGAGGCACTGTGGCACTTCAAACTTAAGGTACTCATCAAGGAATTTCATGTTCTGATCTTCAGGATCAAAGGACTTCATGCCTGATCTTTTTGTATGATGGAACTTCGGGTCCAATCATTTTATATGATGAGGATCAAGAAACTGCAGGTTCTGATCTGATCAAGGAACTTTGGGTCTTATATATACTCATTGTAACAAAAGATAAGTACAATAAATAAATTAAAGCAATAGTCGGTAATTCCAGCCATAGTAAATAAATTGAACAATAAATAAATTAAAGCTTGTGACAAGGGCTTTAATTCAGCACCATTCACATAAATCAAAACTTAAAGCAGTAGGCGGTAAAACCGTCCATGATAAATAAATTGTTTTAAAGTAAATAGAACTTGTGACATGGGCTTTAAACCAACATCATGCACATAAATATCAAAGCTTTAAAGCAAAGGGTAATAATTCTACCCACTGTAAATAAATTGCTTTAAATAAATAGAACTTGTGAAAGTGTTTTAAGCCAACACCATTCACATAAATATATACATATTTTCTTCTTTCTTTTCAGATGGTGTAACACCATCCAAAAACCTTTACCTTTAT